TGTTATTTAGAAAGTTCAAAGGCACTTTTAATCCATTTAATGCATCCTTGCTGGAAAAAAGGTATTAATTGAATTCTTTGAAAAAAATATTTTTTGAACGGTAGCGTATAATCAAATAATTATTTATTTCATTATAATGATTATTTTAAACAATACTTTCTGCTGTTGCCTTGGAATAAGTTCAAGTTTTCCTTATTTTATTTATTTATTATTTATTTATTTATTTTTTACTTTTAGTTCGTTTTCACAATTCTTCAGTTAGTCTGTGATGAATAGAGAGTTCAAAAGAACAGCATTTATTTGAAACAGAAATCTTTTGTGACATTTAAATTGCTTTACTGCCACTTTTGATCAATTTAATGTGTCCTTGCTGAATAAATGAAATAATGTCTTTCCTTCAAAAACAAAAAAGACTGAACCTAAATGTTTGAATGGTAGTGTATATAATAAAATAATTATTTATAACTCAAATAATACTTTCCGCTGTGGCTCACCAGCAATAACACTGATCTACTAGCCACTTCCTTAAAAATCAAGTGCGCTCAATCCGAGTTTAACCATGCTGGAAACCACGTCTGAACAATCGCCTTCAGAATGTCAAGTCTAATCGAATTTCAGTGAATCAGTAACAGAACGGACCACACCTGAAGACTTCTATATATTTATGAAATGCATATCTAAACATCCAATGCACATAAATATATATGACCAAAAAGGGTGCTTTTTCCTGGTACATTCCTCAGACAATTTTCTCTTTGTGGCTGGTATTGAACTATTTGACGAGAGAAAGAGGGGGGTTTTAGGTTGCTGAAAATGAGTGTTGGATTGAACTCTCGCTGCTCAACACAAGGCAGCTCACATTACTAAAAAATTTTAGTGGGGCTCACTGACTGCGAAACATACAATTATAGAAAATGGTTAGCAGCAGGACACTAGTTTAACTAGTCCTGAAATGCAACTGAAATGACAAAAAAAATAAAAATAAATATAATTGGGACGCCACCTTAACTTATGTCAAATGCAAAGAGATTGTATTGATCAGAAAGAGATTCCTATTACAAACAACGCAACATGAAACATTTGAGAAAACATCAACACTCACAATTCGTTGGTGCAGTTAGCAGGCTTGTCCATGCGATGACCCTCTTTTAGTAGCTTAAAGAGCTCCTCGACAGGTATTCCAGGATACGGAGAACCGCCGAGCGTGAAGATCTCCCACATTAAAACCCCGAACGACCAGCTGGAAGAGACAGACACACATTCATCAGATCACTTTACCAGTACAACACACATCAAACACGGCCCTCTCGTGCTTCATATTACCCTTTCAATCAGTGTTTTGACTGTAAATACAGTGCGAGTATATTGGCATTCGACAACCAGCATTCTGTTCAGTTATTTCATGTTTTTGAATCATCGGCATCATCACAATATGGTGAGGGGCGTAACATTTCCGTCACATGCTTGAGGTATTCGGCCAATCATAACGCACTGGATAGCTGGCCAATCACAGCACACCTTGCTTTTCAGACCGATGAGCTTTGTAAAAATCGAAGTGTTTCAGAAAGGCGGGGCATAGAGGAGAAACAATAATGTACAGTATGTGGAAAATATGTGTGGAAAATAAATAAATAATTTTTTTAACCTTAAACCGCATAAACACATTTCATTACACCAAATACACAAAATAATGTTCTTTTTAGCAACATCATATGACCCCTTTAACAACAACTTCACTATCCCCAAAATTTGGATGAGGAACGCTCTGTGAAATGAAGCCTCTCCAAAAATACCAAATTGATCCATTTACAGTAGTGATATTTGTTGGCGCTAACAACGCAGTAGCTGTTGAGGTCTCAATGCGGTCTTTCTGCCAGCGTCCCGGACTGTGGGACCACTTTTACACGACTCAAATGGCTCTGGACTCAAAGCTGGCTTTTGTCCTCAATGGAACGCCACAATGACACATATTGTCCAGCCAAAACAAACATTAGCGAGACCCACAGGAAACAAACGTCCAGATTGCGGAAGATTGTAGCGGGGAATGATTTTTCAACACGTGCCAATTCAGTGTTGCTTCATCTAAGACGAGGAGGGGGAAAAAACACGCAAAATGATAAGAGTTTCCACAGAGGGTTTCTGACCTTTGACTCATCATATATGCGAGTTAAAAGCTTCCCAAAATAGGCCAGCAGACATGCAGAGCCAGAACCCCTTATTATCTGCATAAGCTTTTATTTATCCTGCGGAGTTAACAAAAGCATTTCACAATCACAAGAAATCAATGCGTTACACAACGTGCTTGAGAAATACATCTCTACAACTATACACACAGGTTAGTAGAAAAGAAAAGAGGTGAGATTTCTTTAGCATCTCAATTGCTTCTCGTAAATAGCAATGAGAATCAGTGGAGAGCATATTTGAGACTTTGGTGTAATCTCCTGCTTCTCAGATGTTTCTCCTGAGAAAAAGACTCTAAAATGGTCTCAGATACCACCATTTGCACTCAATGAGATCTCAATACGAACTCCAATATTTCTCAAAGATTCCGTGGAGGGCAAATTCGAAACTTTGCTTTGGTCTCTTGCTTCAAGACTTGAAAAATAAAATGCCTCAAAACATGCTCCGATACCAACATTCACAATCATTGAGATCTCGATATGAACTCCAATATGTCTCATAAAGATTCAGTAGAGAGAACAGTTGAGAGAGTCTCAAAATGTTATCAGGTATCAAAGTTTGTGATCAACATATCAATATGAATTCCAGTATTTCTCCGATTCAGAGGAGAGCAAATTTGAGACTTTTCTTTGGTCTCATGCTTATTTAGATGATTCTCCTGAGGAACAAGACTCTGTTCCTGAAAACGATCTCAGATACAAACGTTTGCGATCAATGAGATCTCAAAATGAACTGTTTCTCAAAGAGAGTAAATTTAGACTTCACCGTAGTCTCCTGCTTCTCAAATGTTTCTCCTGAGAAAAAGATACTAAAATGTCTCAAAATGTGCTCAGATACCAAAGTTTGCAATCAAAATCCATTATGAACTCTAACATTTCTCATAAAGATCACAGTAAGTTTCTATTCACATAAATTGAATACCTCTAGTCTAGACAACTATCGTCTCATTTATGTCTATTTCTCCTAAGGTGTTTTAGGAGAAACATCTGAGACTGAGAACTCATCAAGTCTCATTAGCTAGAAAAGAGCAGCCTTTGAACAACAGTTTTCCTCTGGTTGTACTCTTTTCTGTTGACCCACAGCACTCACACCACACAAAGCAAAGCAGAAAGGCTCTCTGCTTTGGTTTATTCCTGCCGTTATCGGTCATTGTGTTTGTTTGTTTATTTATTCAATCAGTTACCCAGTTTGTCTTCTTCTCGTTTTTATCTAGCGCTGCATCTTCTCTGACATGTTTGCCAAATTCATCATCTCTATTCAGTCACCCCATGTAACCGAGGCTAACCTCCCCATGAACGAACACTCACACTGAGGAACAAAAAGGGTCACTGCAATGTCCTCTTGAAACCTTGCACTTCAATGCAATAGGCTGCAAATGGCTTGTGTGCAAATGATACAGCTGTATGCTAGACCTTGCTTGCTAATTAGCAATGAACGAATGACACATTTTACTTGAAAATTAAGAGAAAAAAAATATTGCATAAAGAAAATATTTGTCATGGAAACAATTCCATAATGCATAAAATAAAATACAATTTCAAAAAATAAAATAAAATAAAATAATCAATCAATCAATTAGTTGTTTTGTTATTTTATTTTGACAAATTTCATGAGATGAACTCTAAATGCTAACTAGGCAATAAAGGTAAAAAGTGACCCAATTTTATAGGTTTATAAAGGCCTACACCTTTCTTTAATCTAATTTAGCTGACCTTGCATGAGGCCGGATGAACCTTAACCATAAAAGCCATCAATTTAACATCCTGAACAAACAGGAAATTCACACACATGCATCCATATTTCCATTTTTGCAAGCTCTGCAGCTTACATCCCATTCCCCACACTCTTAAAAATAAAGGTGCTTCAAAAGGTTCTTCAAGCGATGCCATAGAAGAACCATTTTTGGTTCCACAAAGAACCATTCAGTCAAAGGTTCTTTAAAGAACCATCTCTTTTTGTAACCTGAAGAACCTTCTTTCGCCACAAAGAACCTTTTGTGAAACAGAAAGGTTCTTCAGATGTTAAAGGTTCTTTATGGAACCATTTAGACAAAAAGGTTCTTCTATGGCATCGTGAAGCACCTTTATTTTTAAGAGTGCAGGGGTCTTGTTTGTCAAAACATGCCCATTTTTATTATAATTTATGTATTAATTTCATATGATGTCATGTATGGATCGTGTCTGCCTCTGAGCCAATCAGAAAGCTCGGGACCTTAGTGACTGATGATGTATAATTAGCATTGAGCCCCGAGACAAAAGATTCAAGCATTTGCCATCAATAAGGGTCTCTTTGCTATTGATTTGATTTTACAGCATGGACCACACAAAGAGCAGGCAAACATGACAAAAGATAATGAGCTGCAAGAGATTACGCAACATATATCATTAGGGGTGGACAGTATGACCACATTCTTTTATGATAATATCTGTTTTTGAACATTCTAATGCCATTCCATTAAATACTTCACAAATTAGTCATTTGGAACTTGATGGATGCAAACCAAAAGATCAGAATATTAATAACAAATGAATGTAGAAATGATTTCAGCCTGTGCATGCAGCCAAAACTTCAAAACATCCCACAGAGGTCGCATGAAAAATCCAAAACATGCACCAAAGCGTAACTTCCGTTTCGTTTTATCTCTTTAAGAGACAAAAAAAAAATATGTGAGCTTAAAATGAAAGGGAACAAGCATGCACTATAGCGGATGAACGCAAACACAGACGACAGGATTATTTCACTCTATGGAAAATAAAAAGAAGGGAAGAGACTTTCAAGTGTTCAAAAAAAGAAAAAACAATGAGGTAGGGAAGAGCTGGATGGAGGAGTGTGACGGGACGGAGTGAAGGGAAGATAGAGGGCATTTCCGTCGGGGCTCTGGGAGGTGAGAGTCTGGCCCGTCTGAAAGGCTTTGAAGCAGCGCAGATTAGTAACACGCCACTGGTCGCAAGTCGAGCGTGAAATCTCTCGCTTTTTCGGTGTAGCGCTGGCCGCGAACAGCCCTTCTTCTTTCTCTGCCACTCAAAAGCACTTCCTTAACTTTCCATCACTCGTGCTCCTTTTTTTCACAAGGGAAACAATTCTTGTACCTCTGAACTCACCTGCCAGCAGTTCCTATTCTTTCCCAAACTACTCGCTTTACACAAACACACAGCCACTCCAATCACAGTAGAACTGTTTTTCTGCACTCTCCAAACCACTTCAGACAACTTTTTCAATTTGTAGAAAGAAAAACAGCCCTAATGTATCATTTAGACTTGGATCCATAACAACTTGTGCAGAACCAACCAGAGCAATCCAAAACCAATGAGCAGAAATAACAAGCTATCGTCACCAGTCTTGGGGGTAACGATTTACAAGTAACGCGAGTTACGTAATCAGATTACTTTTTTCAAGTAACTAGTAAAATAACTAATTACTTTTTAATTTACAAGAGAATATCTGAGTTACTTTTTCAAATAAGTAACGCAAGTTACTTTTTTTTTTCAATTTATTGATTGACAGCTCTCCTGTCCCCATGTTGAGAGAAATCAGAAGATGTTACTGTAGTTCTAAAATAAATATGAATATGCATTAATTAATCTCACTCACAAAAAAACCCCACAGATTCCGTATTCCTCAAAATGAATAAAAATAATGCAACTCAGAATATGATGCAAACCTGCAATAATTAAATGTTAAACAACACAAATATCCTTTATGTATTTAATACCATTCTATTAACCAATGTCTTCGATGATCCAGTTCAACCGTACTAATAAGCAAAAATTACTCTAGACAAACATTTGTGTGTCTTTTTTTTATTGCTGAAGTGTTGAAATGTCTTCTTTTGCATTCTACTGTACGGACGTAAATTTACTTTCCCTTCAGCCTGAGGCTTATTCATTTCACTTTTGGTGCGAAAAGGCTTCAATATTTGCCAAAAATAGAACTTTTTTATTTTATAAACAAACAAACAAACCCTGTCCAGATTTAAAAAGTAACGCAAAAGCAACGTAACGCATTACTTTCCATAAAAAGTAACTAAGTAACGTAATGAGTTACTTTTTTATGGAGTAACGCAATATTGTAATGCATTACTTTTAAAAGTAACTTTCCCTAACACTGATTGTCACTATATGCAAATTATCTGTTATAATTGGCAACACAGTTGCACTGCTGTGTAAATATGCATTCAGAAGGTTTGATGTATTTGTTATTGCTTAGATTCAATAAATAATAATCCTATCTGGACAGCCTGAATCCCTGACAATATTCAAGAAACAGCCAAAAACTCTTGTCTTCTATGTATCTCTTTTCTTCTCTTCCACTGCATTGTATGGAAGCCTGTTTCCGCCACTGAATAAAAAGTAAAAAAGGTAACTGCAACTTTTTATCTCATAATTGTGAGTTTACATCTCACAACTTATTTTTTTCTCGGAATAGTGATATAAACTTGCAAAACTTGAGTTATAAAGTCCAATTCTAAAGTTAAAAAATACTTATTTTCTCAGAATTTTGAGACATAAACTCAAAATTACGAGTAATAACGTCAGAATTACATGATATAAAGTCGCAACTGCATGTTATAAAGGCATAATTGCGTATATAAACTCACAATTGTGAGAAAAAAGTCGCCATAACTTTTTAAAACATTTTATTCAGTTGCAGAAACAGACTTCCCTAACATCTTGCTGAACATTTTTCTTTTTCTATGCTTTCACTATTTCTTAATCCCTCTGTTCAACCTTATACTATTCTGGACAGTGCTTGAAACTTTGTACTGCAAGCAATTCTTGATGAATAAAAACATCTGATAAATGAATAAATGTAAATGTGCATGGACTAGAGAGGGAGATTAGGTTGTAAACATCAGCGAAAGAGCAATAAAATCTTGTTTTTCACGACATGTCCCCTTTAAAATGAAAAAAAAACAAAACAATGAAGGACATAACCGGCTGACTTACACATCGCTCTGGTGCGTATAGACTCGGTCGAACAGCGCCTCTGGAGCCATCCATTTCACCGGCAGACGACCCTACAGACATCAATAGGAGAAAAGGTCAAAGATGGGCAACACAACAACATCCAGATACTGTGACACTCACATCTTCATCTGTACTAGACCCTTGTTAGCCTGGAATTTCATTAAGCCCCAAGCAGCCAATAATGATTGGCAATTAAATCTTGTTGGGACGTATCGCCAAACTCTAATTTCCCTCAGGAGTCATTGTGGGGTTATAAATTGAAGCTAGTGGAGAAGATACAAGAGTCAATGTCATTTGGAGTGCTAGATCCAATAAGAAGGGCCCCGAGTTCACAATCTCCTGGCTCACAGTGTTTTATTCAGACGGGGTTGAACTAGTGTAATTGAATCTAACCCCAGCCATTAATCAGTCATCAGTATCTCTCAATCTGGGCTTTGCTCGTTGTTTTAATAATGGCAAACTATGTTTAAAATATTCATGGCCAGATCTATGTGACCTTGATAAGAATGGAGAAATAAATCAGGACTAAAGCCGTACTGATGAATAACGTAGGGAAAAGTTTACGCTTACATTTACTTCCCTGTTGTAAAATCCAAGTTCTACCAGTTCTACCGGTTGGCAAGCTGGTTTTTTAGACAAGGTTGCTGGTTTTCTACTGGTCCAACTAACTCTAACCAGCATAACCTAGAAGGTCCGATAGGTTGGAACCAAGTGGAAATCTAACTGATCAACCATCTAAGCCAACTAACAACCATAAATATCCAACTAGAATCATGCACAATAAGAATACAAATGTTTAATAATTAAATAGGGCCAGTTTTGATTTAAATCCAACTGATCAACCATGTATGCCATCTAACAACCATAAACGACCAACTAAAATCATGCACAATAAGACTAGGAATGTTTATTAAGTAAGTAAATGATTTCATGTTGATCTTTCATGAACATTGACCCAAACATAATGATGCTATCAATATTCACACACTCTTTCTCTGATGACCTAAACTCTCAGATGAGTGAATTACAGCCTAAACAAGCATCTCAGATGGGCTAGAGACTGGTATAATGGTGGGAATGCGAGTTAAAGCTATGCTAATGTGTTTAGGTTTGTCACTAACATTTCTTTCTCATGAGCTTGAACAACAAGCTTTGGAATAAGAGAAGAGGGCAGGACCAAATAAGCAAAGAGCTGAAATCACTTTACACGCCGACTGCCTGGGAATCTGCAAATCATGCCAAGACTGGCAAGAGGAGGGGGGGGGGGATGTGGCAGATAAACAGAGGGGAAAAAAGAGAAATGAAAGAGAGAAAAGGTAAGAGAACAAAGAAAGAGATGGCAGGAGGCTGAAAGGAGTCGAGCGTGAATATGTCTGTATAAAGGACGCTTCAAGACCCAGTGAGATCTAAATCATAGCCATTTATATAGTTGTGTACACTTAAACATCGACAGACTTAACATTTAGCAGACGCATTTAATTTCATTTAAAGTCTTTCTTACCATAAAATGTGATCCAAAAGTATTGAGGACTTACTATTCAAACTAGTGTCCAATCAAAGTTTGTTTTTGTTTTTTTGAAAGAAAGAAATTAATATTTTATTCAACAAGGACACATTAAATTGATCAAAAATGACATTTATAACGTTGCAAAATATTTCTATTTCAAATTAATTGTTTTTTTGTACTTTCTATTAATCAAAAATCCTGAAAAAATGTATCTCGGCTTCCTTAAAAAGAATAAACAGCACAGCTGTTTTATCATTAATAATAATAAGAAGAAGAATTTTTTTTTTTGGGCATATCAAAAAGATTTCTGAAGGATAATGTGACAGTGTAGACTGGAGTAACGGCTAGAAATTCAGGTTTGCATCGCAGAAATACATTTTTTTGAAAATATATTCAAATAGAAAACTGTTATTTTAAACTGTAATAATATTTCATAATTGTACAGTTTTTACTGTATCAGATAAACACAGCATTGCTGAGCAGAGGACACTTCTTTCAAAAACATGTGTATGTCTTGTCTCAACTTCCTATTTAAACATCAACTAATGGAGTGCCGTTACATGTATCAATAAACATCGACAAATGAATGCATAGCGAGATGAAAATCAACAAGAAATGTGTTTTACGGTAAAGAGGAGTGTCTCCTGACAAAATGAAACTCACATTTGTAGTCTTTTTATAGTAATCTATGTTGTGGACGTCTCTGGCCAGGCCAAAGTCTGCAATCTTCATAACGTTGCTTTCCGTGACCAACACATTCCTGGCAGCCAGATCCCTGTGTATACACTGCCACAGAGATGAAGAAAGATAGAGAGAACATAAATCATCACGACTTCACCTTGGAAACACAGACAGAAATCACACACACAGACATAAACAACACAAAGGTTTTAGGTGCTTTATGGATAAATGTGAGAGCGTGTGAGAGTGTCTGAGGCACGATAAGGCTCTCTGCACATTCCAGACGGGAAGGGGAGCGTGATGGCAGTGTTTAGTTAGCATGTTCGCAGTGAGCGGCTAACAGAGTCGTGCACATCTGCCGTGATTCATTCAATGACTGTCTGAAAAATGTTGCATGAATCTAATTGGACGGCTGAATGCTCTTTAAAAAAAAAAGTGCATGTCAGAATAAATGGCCTTAAAAATGCTTGTTAGATTAAACTTTTAGCAAAGCCATCAGCATGAAGTCTGGTCCATTTCTGTTTATAGACAGATAACTTTTTTAAAAAGTTTAGGAACAAGTAGATGTGAAATCAGATACTCTGAGAACGAAACAGAATATAGAGGTGTGCACAAACAAAACCCTTGAATAGATTTCATGCCGTGAACCTTGCAAACTATCCAGCAACTTGTTTCTTCTTTTTGCTACTGCTTATTTTAGCAGCCTGATCCTCAACACTGCTACTGAACTAAATTAAATCAACACTGAGCTGAATTATGACACTATTGTCTAACAGTATCTACACAGTTTGCTTCATAATTTATGAATTTTACATTAACACTGTTATTCTTCCTGTTTATTACCATGAAGATTCTTTGAAACAATCTGCGCTACAGCATATAAATAAAAGTGACTTGACTTGATTAGAACTGAGCCTGAGACCAGCACCATTGAAAGCTTATTTAAGTGACATTTCTAAAACATTAAGTAAGGTATTTATATGGAGTGCATGTGCAGATACCTTCTGTGAGGCTAAATACTCCATGCCACGGGCTACTTGATAAGTGCAGGACACCAAATCTTTGAAGGTGAGAGGCTCATCTGAAACTCGGGCTATATCGTATGAGTACTCCATTCCCGGGGGCCGCCGAGCCCTCAAATACTCCCGAAGGTTTCCCTTAGATGCATACTCTACTATGACATATAACGGACCTGTGAAAGAGAGAGAGAGAGAGACAGACTGTCATCCCACTGTCATTTATACAGGTGAGAGCTTAAAGGAATAGTTAACCCAAAAATGAAAATTGTGTCATCATTTACTCACCCTCATGTTATTGCAAACCTGTGTGCATTGCTTTCTTATGTGGAGCACAAAAGAATCAGTTTTGAAGAATGTTGGTAACCAAGTGGTTTCTGGTAGCCATGGACTTTCATAGTAATTAGTTTAGTTTTTTCCTTACTATGGAAGTCAATGGCTGCCAGCAACTTTTTGGTTACCAACTAACTTCAAAATATCTTTGGAAAAACATACCGGTTTGGAACAACTTGACGGTGAGTAAACGATGACAGAATTTAATTTTGAGGTGAACTATCTCTTTAAAATGCATGAGATTTCCACTCACCGTCCTGTGTGCACGCTCCCAACAGATTGATGATGTTCTTGTGCCGGCCAATCATCTTCATCATCTCCATCTCTGACACCAGGTCAGAAAGATCTTTCTCTGTTGCATCATCTAGAAAGGTTCAAAATAAAACACAAAATAAACATAGTGTTCATTGTGCTCACTCAACCAAATGTAATCTGCTTTTTAGGAAAAATTCTAAATAAATCCTGTTTGTTCTTCCTGATTCCTGCTCGCTACACTGTAAAAGTGCAAAAAACTGTAGCATAATATTCATATATATGCACATTATACATAATGCAATAGTAGTATGAGTGGTACGTTAGTATGCCATACATGCAAACGCATCCTATATGAGTAGATTGGCTGGATTGGCTGTCTGTGTCCCAGTGTAACTGTCTGTGTGGTTTAGTGTTACACTGAAGAGCCGCGCTCTTACACAGCTCTCCTTTCATTGCCTCACAATTAAAAAGCGTTTCTTCCATTTAGAGTAATTACCTTAGAGACAGTCGCCTTTTCATTATCTGCCTGCTGATCACTGGAGCGAACCTGACACAATCCACTGACCACCCTTCCTGTCTTATCTTACTCCAGCTTCTTTTGCTAAGAATGCTGTGCACTCTTCCTTCCATACCAGATTCATCAACGCTTCAAGACCTTCTCTAAAAATTGTGTTTTTGTGAATTCTCTTGGATACTTTACAGTGGCAAAAAAAAAACGTTACTTTAGTATTATAAATATACTTTTACATTATTTATTAATATTTTAACCTAGCTTATATTTTTATTCTCATTTTTTATTTTAGTTTATATTTTAGTCGTTTGGTTATGTGCTTTTGTCATTTTTATTATTTTATTATATTTCAATAAATATTGAATTTTTTATTATAAACTTTAATCTTAATTTTTTGAGCTTTAGTTGTTTTAGTTGTGCTGCTGTAAATTGTATATATATTATATACACACACAGGTATACATTTTTTTTTTCAGTTGTAGCAATTTAGTACTTCAACTTAAATTTATTTCAGTTAGTTGCCAGAGCAACATTTCTTTTCTTTTTTTTTGGTTTAAGTTTTTCATCTGGTATTTATAATTTGAGTTACCAAAAAAGATATTTCATAGTTTTCCAACACTGCCCCTTAAAAGGATATTACATCTAAAAATGAAAATTCAGAGATTTACGAAAATATTTTGAACAGCCACACAACTGTCCACACAATGAAAATCAGTAGAGTCTAAGGCTACGTCCACACGAAGCCAGAGCTTTCCCTATCCAATCTTTTTTTTTTCCCCTCGCCTCAAAAAATATCTGCGTCCACACAAAACCATGAAACCGACACAAAATGATGTAGTATACATGCCAGACCAGCATGTGGGGCTGTAATTCTGCCACAGAGATACACTAAAAACAGAGAAGAAGACTTGGACTATGTGCATAAACCTTGCACGCGGTATACAAATGAACATTGAACAATACATTTATTGATCTGTGTTAATGTTAGTTAATAAAAAGACAATCATTCAGTGTTTGTTCATGTTTTTGTTGCTGTTACGTGACGTAGCGGTGTCTGGCTAGGGGCGAGACGTGGGCTGATAACGTCATCGTTTCAGAAAATATACGGATTCGCTGTACACACGAAAACGCAAGGTGCAAGGCGTTTTCAGATTTATCCACTCTGGGTCCACCCAGTTTCAAAAAATATCGGTTTCACTCTCCCAAAACGCCGGATCCGTCCGGACGAAACACCTATACGATACAAAATGTATGTGTATACAGCTAAACACGTCTCCGTGGATTTACCTTCACTGCATGGACAAAAACCACCAATATATTCTTAAAAGTATCTTTTGTGTTTCACTGAAGAAAGAAATGAAAATGGATTTGGAACAGCATCAGTAAATAATGCCAGAGCGTTAATTTTTAGGTGAACTTTCCCTTTAAGTTTCTAAATGTTTTTATTCTTGGGCCAGTAATTAAGCCAGGTGTAAGCGGTGAACGTGCTCTTGTTTCAAGTGTTTTCTCCACTGCAGCCCTGCCCCCTCGGCCCTCTCAACATCCTTTAAAACTTCTTTTGAGCTGCTGGCTCCCTCCCCCACTCTCTTCTCTTTCTTTCAGTGTGAGGGTCTTTCTTTGTGCAGGTGAAGAGCGAGAGCCGTGCAGCTGGTGAGCACCGGGTCAGCTATGCGGCCTCTTGACCCGAGCTCTACCAACATCACTCGGCACCAACAAATAACCCCGCGCAGGACCCTACAGTCAAGACCTCCTCTCCCACTTTCTCCCTTTCTCAACATATGCACATTCTCAGATCATAACAATACCTTCACGAAAATTTGCACCCAACTGAAACACTCTTAGCTTATGTGAAGTAGTTTTTTTATTTTTGCGACTGGACTGATTAGGGAGAGGCCATTATATCTGCCAGAACAATTAATCGCCTGATATTTGGCCAATTTGAGATAAATAGGCCCAGAAGCGTCCATTCCAAAAACCCTCAAAATAGATATTAATGATAAAATTCACATTTATTTTGACAAAAATGAATTAAAATAATATGCCTATACTAATACTTACGAGCTCAAAATGGCTTAAAATATATACGTATAAATAACAATAACAATTACAAATAATATGATAATTATTATTATATAATATTTATATAATATATACATATATATATATATATATATATATAAAAATAAATAACTGTACAATTTTAAAATAAAAATATTTATAATAAAGATAAAATTTCATATAAATAACAATCCATATTAATTTAATGTATTCAATACAAATGTAAAGTAATACATTTATGTAATTTAATATATTGATGTGTGTGCATAAATTATAGATATAAATATTATTTTAATTAATATTATATTATATTATATTATATTATGTTATGTTATGTTATGTTATGTTATGTTATGTTATGTTATGTTATGTTATGTTATGTTATGTTATATAGTTTCCTACACTCTTAAAAACAAAAGCTGAGGTGAGGCGTCTTAGTGTGCTGCTGGGATCATAACACACTGCTGTTTTTATTGAAAATGTTCCATCTTTTCACTGATATTTTAGTCTCATAGGGTCCATATGACAATATTATTCTGTCTGCATTGTACTCTGCATGTCCGTCTGTTGTTTTTGCGAGATTTCTTTAGCTGTTTTAGCTTTAGACATTATTAGAGCTTTCTTGACATGTTTGCATCCCTTCATCTCGAACTCTTTGCTTTTCTTTGAACACTCCACTCTGCTGAGCTGGTGTGATTTGTAGCTTGTATCTGCCGGGTTTTGATCTTTCACTCGAGTACCATCTATATATGAACCAGTCGTTTTGTGATTCACAACATCAGAGAAGTAGCTCCCTTGTAAAAAGCATTTCGAACCATTTGAAAGGTGACGCCCACAACAATTTATGAGCTGATGAGGTTAAAAGTCAAGTAATTCCCACCATCCTACATCTGATGAAGATGTTTTTTTTTGAAAAAATTCAAATAAATGCAAAAAATGGACCAGTTACACAGAGTTGCAAAGACCTACATGATTAAAACCCTTCAGACCCTGTTAACATGCAAGTAAACTAAGGCTAAATGTTGATTTAGGACACGCACCACAGTACAGTTTTACTATAAATATTTACCTTTCAGCATCTTGACAGCCACCGTCACGGCCTCTTTAGGTTTGTCCTTGTCGATGCCCAGAGCTTCAGCCATCACTACCTGCCCAAAGCAGCCCTCGCCAAGCGGTTTACCCAAAGTTAACCTGTACAAACAAACACCAAAAAACACAAACATTACAGAGAAACCCAAAGCTCTTGGCAGGCAATATTTATGCCCATTTGCATGAGCATTTCAATCCATCCAGACAGACTTTTTCAGTCTCCAGATGCGATTATGATGCCAAAAAATGCTGTCTAGTTTGGAAACATGTTGCATTAGCGACATCTAACCGTATATCAGAGTTGCAAGTGCGCGTGTTGTGTTTACTTAACTCGTAGGTGTTAAGTGGATGCCCTTTGCCTTCCATTGCAAAGCTTACATTAGACACTAGCGAGTGTGACAGCTGAATGTCTGGCTGGGAGATCTAGAGTTACGGTCCTCTGGGGTGAGCAACAATATGCCTTTGGGGATTTACAGACTTTCTTAAAGTGTGCAAGAGAAGGCCAGATACTGGGGTTAACGCTTGACTAGCGCACTCTGGTCAAGTGCAAAAAAAGATTAGAGCATGTTTCAGGAGAGTGTTGTAACGTATACATCAGTTAAGAGACTCCCACCTTTTTAAAGGGCTAAAGTGTAGTACATTTATATATATAAAGCAATATATAATTTTCACATATGTGACCCTGGAGCACAAAACCAGTCTTAAGTCGCTGGGGTATATTTGTAGCAAAAGTCCAAAATACATTGTATGGGTCAAAATTATTGATTTTTCTTTTAAAACTCCAAAAGCGCCTATGTTTTTTTTGTGTTTAGTGTAATATTTGAAATATATATAATGTTATTTATAAAGAATGCAAACCAAGGTGTGGTTGACTCTTAACTTTTATAAAGAATATCTCTTTGGATTTGAGACTTTAGTCTTTGCAACTTTACAGATCTTCTTTATGCACCAAGAGCTTGTAACACTCCAAAGAGAAAGGAAAACTTGAAATCGCATCATATGACCAAAAAACATTAGGACATAATCTTATTTATTTCAGATGATGTATAAATCTCAATTTAAAAAAATTGACCCTTATGACTGGTTTTGTGGTCCAGGGTTACAAATGTATATTCTCTGGGTAGATCCAAAATATAAATGTATAACATATATAGCATTCCATAGTAATATTTGTATATGTACACATGTTAATAATATCTATATAATTATTTTTTGAATGTGGTATTATATGGAGCAACCATACATTTCAACGATATATTTTATGTATATATGCAACTTTATTAAAACAACATGGGCTAGAAGGTATATACATAATACTTCAATAATCTTGCTTTATTCACAACTTCAAAAATAAATTATATTACAGAGCATAAAACAAAAAGAAAATAATTTATTTTATTTATGGACTAACTCTCCTTTTGAGAACAGCTCAAAAATCATCTTAATTTCATCAAATGAGCTTTTGGGAACTTTTTTCAGCTAATGTGTCCCTTAATTAGCCCTAGTTTGGAAACAAACCCACACTCAAACATTAAAACACAATCACACACACTTCATCTTCATCCCTCATGATAACTGTGACATTCGACCTCTTGCCCTGCCAGTGGCCCTCAGTCAACCTTTGATTGACAGGAGCTGGGGTCTGTCCCCGGCCCCCTGCAGCACTGGGCTATGTAAACATTCACACCCGCACTGGGGCCCGCGGCCGATCTGAGGCTGTGATAACACAATCCCCCTCTGTGCTGTACGGTCAATGGCGGCCTCTGTCTACTCCAGCCCACCACAGATAATCAATGTTATGTTTATCCTACATGCCGACCGCAAACGTTAACATTCCACAGTTTTCAGCCCAGCATGCGCCCTGGGGCACATCATGCGGGGATGAAGACAGCAGTCCAAAAAAAATTTAATAAAAAAAAACTTAATAGCTTAAACTTTATGCTGATAATGAATGAATGAATAAATAAACATTTATGTCTAATGTATATGTATTAGTTGTATGTAATATATTAATTAATTAATATATACGCAATTTTATAATAAATGGTATAATGAATAATTAAAATAATTATTTTATTTTATAATAAAATTAACTACTTTTTTTTAATTAACTGTATATGACAGTACTGTTAAAAAAAATTTAGAAATTGATTTTGAAAAACCTAGAATTTATATGTTTCCAGTAAAGCTTATCAAAATATTATGTACAGTAAAACGACATTATTATTATTTATTGTTATTTATGATATTTAATAATAATTTTAAAATGTGCAAATCAATTTAAATTAATTCTTCCAGTAAAATCAGTTATCAAAATATTATGTACAGTAAAATACAGTAATTTATAATATATTAAATATTTTATATAATTTAAATATTTATAAATGTACATACAAGACTGATCATTTAAAAACATCTAGAATCAATATGATTCCAGTAAAATCAGTTCTGAAAGCATTATGCACAGTAAAAAAGACAAATAACTGTATAGTATTTTTGAAACAATAACAATTCCCTACAGTGTTAATTTCGTTGAGGAATAATTTGTCATAATTTGTCAACAACATTTATTTCACAGACGAACAAAAACTCTTTTTGAATGACGTAAATCTATTGACATTTTCGTCAATGAATAAAAACTAGACGAAAACGTTAGGGAGGGACGATTTGGGAAGAGATTCAGAACGAATCTGCTGCGTGGTTCGGAGGTTAGATATATGAACCGGCAGGACATAAGCTAACATACACTTGTTGCATGTCGCATAAAAAGTTCAAAAATGTCAATATGTGGGAGTAAGAGAAGAGCAGACATATAGATAAATCTGACGACGCAAGAGAGAACTCAATTCAGTCCGGTTTTCTGAACAGGTTTTCTCTCACAGAGTGTGAGTACTCTTTAGCGTCACATGAACAGTGAATTACACACAAAATTATGTCGAATTGTCTGTTTTGACGAGCATTCACGTAAACACAGTTGATTACGTCTTAAGTGAACGTAAACAGTAGGGAGAACGTGTATCAGAACATTGCATCCATTGCAGCTGTGCATTTCGGTTTTAAAGGGACAGCAGCCTAATTTAGTTGCTATTGTCCGAGTCATTGATGTTAATCAAGCAACAACAGAAAGACAGAAAATCACTCACTGCTCTTGACTGAAAAACTTGAGTAGCCCTAAAGATTAATCTAAATGTATTTATAGAAACAAATATGTCTGCTTGAAAGAATGAAGAATATGGTAAACAAGTTGCTATCAAGAATGCATAATTAGCCTATATAACCATTGGTATTTCATTAAAAAGAAGACCACGTTCTTGTTCTTTATGAGAAGTGGTTTTATTTAATTTTAACACAAAGGCATGTTGTGTGTCACCGCAGTTAAATCAGTGTCTATCATGATAAAACCATAATATCAAACCTATATAATGAGTTTGGACATTTTAGAGAAATGCTTAATAAATGCACTGTAACTAAACCCATTCGATTTTAGCCGACTAAATTTACTGTAGATTTACTGTAGATAGAAAACTAGACTAAAACTAAAAACAATTCAGATTACTAAAATATGACTAAAACTAAATGGAATTTTAGTCAAAAGACTATGACTAAAACTAAATAATAATTTGCTGTCAAAATTAACACTGATTCACTATTTACGCTTATGAATTGAAAAATGTAGGCCCTGAATATTATCTACTTTCAATATTAGAAATGTAAAAAAGAGAGAGAGAGAGAGAGAAAGACTATATCGGGCAATATTGATATGGTTGCCGGTTGAATACATTTCTTGTTGGAAAGGTTTCTAACAAAATCTTTTCTTCCGTAAGTCTTGCGCTCCTTACAAAAACACGTCTTAGCTTGTCTGCCCAAAGGCAACGATTCCTTTAGTGGGTGTGAAGTCAAAAATAGAATTAACATAACTGGCCATTAGTTGTGAACATGCAAGGACTGTTATCCAGTAAAAACTGAACAACTCCACCTGCACTTGTTGGGTTTCAACCATTAATTTAATAAATAAAACTTAGTTCGAGTTTAGAGTTGAATAATAGCATGTTAAACTGCTTACAAATCATCCTCGAGACAATCAAAGTACAAACAGACTCCTATTTAACCACCATTTTTGTTACAGATTGCTTAAACAGGCCTTCTTAGTCATTAATTAGGAATCTGTAATGTTTTGGCAACACCACGATAGTGGATCCATTGTAAAACATCCGAGAGTCTGAGTTTCTCTCATTAGTCACACGATCAATCGAGGTCACAGTGTCAGAAGAGAATATGTGATGCTAACAGAAAGTTATCTGGTAGCCACTTGTATATTCCATTATATAATGAGAAAAATGTGTGTTTGGTTTCTTTAAGAATAATAACGGCTACCGAACAGAGGCCTGTGTTGCGTTATGAATGATTGATTGTACATTGCGCCTGCATAAGTCACAGGTTAATAATTAGACATAATGGGATTGTAAGCGTACAAGGAGATTAGCTTCACATCACAATGATTTACAAGTGGAAAAATGCAAGATTATGCTTTGAAGTGACGAACGCGAAGCACGACTCACTCTAGAAACTGCGATGACTGACACCATGGTAACAATAGCAACGTTTTACCGTCATGCACGTTTAGTATCCGCTATTTTTAACCAATGAAATATGACAGCAACCAAAGACTCGTTATGTTCAGTGATTTTAACTAAACCACCGTTGAGTTTTGTTTATATTTGGAAGGTTATAGGGTTGCCATGTTCACTTATTATTAAGCATCTTTGGGCTCGGCTCTTTACGCAATCCAGTTTATGTTAATAAAGTAGGCAGATCGCAATATTTTGGTTTGTGGCTTATTCTCAAGATAACGCGTTTGGATTTGAGTTAATTATGGGCTTGTTTTTATTTGTCGCTTTTTTCTAGCAAGATCTGGCTAAACTAATGAGTCAAAACATACACTGTGATTTCTTGCACCTCAAATACCGAAAAAAAAACCGCGTTCAAATACATCATTATAAAACGGATAGTTCCGGTCCTTGATTCTGATTGGTTGAGCCGCATTCGAAGCTGTTGTATATTACTCTACAAACACACACCTCTGTTTACGTTTGTCTGCTGCTTGGCAACCACTTTGCTGCAACCACAACCTTTTCTGAGGAACTACATTGTTTGGTGGAAGAATACTGTTTTCATTAATATCATTACACTTTATTTGCTCTGTTTTATTTTGTGAAACCTAACTACGAATATGGAATAACCGTTTTATAAAAGCAATAAGCCCCTTGAAGCCGTGGTTTACTCGTGCCTAACAACGCCCCTTAGCTGTTATAAATTCACTGTAAACCGTGGCTTCTTGGGGCTTATTGCTTTATTAACAACCAGTTGTTCGGTTGGTTTCGTACACACTGTGTAGAATTTCCATAAATGCAGCTGTCACTGCCTACATACGGTTGTCACTCCCGTAAAAAGGTTAAGGCTAGATGGTATACAGATTCGTATATTGGGCATGCGCACATCAGTATAGCGTAATCTTTTGTCACACGGTACAATGATAATTACTGTTTTTACTGTTTGTAAGGGGTAGGTTTAGGGTTGGGGTAGGTGTAGACATTACTAATACACAATCTAATAGGTAGAAAATTAAATGTATTGTTAGCTTCCAGTTTTAGTTGTATCCCTTCTAGCCACAACCCCGTAAAAAACTGAACTGTGTGTACAGAACAGGATTAAGCACTAGAAGGTGAACAGACAACCGAATTTAGCTGCAGTGTGTATGTGGGATTCATGAACCTGGCTGAAATTGCTCACTTGTCTCTGGAGAACTCCCAGCGCGGGTCCTCAGGGAGGTCGTACTCTGGAATAGGGTCATCGTGGGCGGAGCTACGGCGAGTGGTGATCCTGACCAATGGTGTGCTAGAGCTCATGGAGGAGCTGGAGTCAGACGACACCTGTAAGGGGAAAGATGGATGGCTGATCACCTGAGTCTTGAAGACAGCACCAAACATTATTAACACCTACATGTGTGTTTGTGATTGTGTGCATTTAGCAGCTCAACATTATCAATACAGGAAGCTGTGACTTACACGATGCAAATAATAGCACAAAATATAGGGTAAGGTATCAGGCTTAATTGAAGTTACCTACACCTAAAAGCCATGCATTTTTATTTTACTTTTTTTTTTTAGGTTTTATAATGCATCATAAATTTGCTCAAAATGTAATGGTTTCAAAGAATGTTTCCAACTTACCACCATATAGCATACCTTCAACTTCTCAACAAAAAAACTCGGCATGTTATTCAAAAATTTACAACAAAGACACTGCTGTACAAAACTAAAATGTACAAACTTTTTTTTTAAATATTTGATCTAGAATAATAGAACAGTTGTTCATATATATATATATATACATATATGAACAACTGTTCTATTATTCTATTATTCACATTCATAAAGTAGATTATATGTAAAAATATATATTTTATATATAAAGTTATAATCAAAAATATAAATTATAAGAAATAATAAATTATAAATATAAAAGTCACTTAGAATAGAATTATCTTCTCTATTATCTCAGTCTCAGTTATCTTTATATAATACATGATATACATCTTAATCATGTAAAAGTCAACATGTTATACCAATAATTGAGATTATATTTTAAAATATATTTATATATAACAAATATAATATAGAAATCAATATATATAAAATGTATACAATAAAATATATCATCATATATAAAATATAAATATATTAATTATCTCTGGCTCAATTATCTTCATACAATAAATTGCATTAAAATATCATGATTTATTATACATAAAAAGACATTTAAATATTACATTAAAAAAAACATGATTGGATGATTTGAAGAATCATTTATGTCCGTAGCACAAATGTCCAAAACAAGTTAGATGCCAAAAGGCAATACAAAATAAGAGGCTGGTTCGAATCACTAAGCATAAACTTGCCTTAGAAACCCCGACTAATTTCATAATTCAAAGATAGATCATTCTTATATTAGTGTGTGTATGCAGGTGTGTATAAGATCTCTAGAACTCTTTATCTACTTTCTGTTACCTGGCGGCGCAGAGGGATCTGTTTGGTCAGCTTGTGCACTGCCGGCTGACTCCCGAAATCAGGCTTCTTAGCCGACGTCCTCATTCGACAAACCACCACGATCACCACCATACAGGCGATGAGAAAGACGCCTATGCAGTAGATGGCGATCTCCACATAGTCTGGAGGATAGTCTGTCTCGATGGCGTCTGGCTCAGCTGTAGAGCAGCGAGAAGGATCAGAAAGAAGTGAGGTGACAAGCTAAGAAGGATTTAAGACACTCCTCAAGTCATACAGCCGAGGAATAATGCACCAGAAACCTTAATGTTGGACACAGCACAGTTTTAAGATGGTTATGAAGGAAATTAAGGTTTTCAGAGCAAGATGTTCTGCCAGTGATAACAAAACAGGAGAGGAAAAGACGAAGGTGACTAAAGAATTACAAGATGCACCAACACACACATACTTGACATACTGATCAATTTCAAACTATTAAATGTTCTACAAAGTAGTAAAATGGAAATTTTATTTAGATGTTCCTCATGCTTAGCTCAGAAAACACTTCATTTAAGTATCAACTTAAAGGGTTAGTTCACCCAAAAATGAAAATGCTGTCATTAATTACTCACCCTTGTGTTGTTCCAAACCCGTAAGACCTTCGTTCATCTTCGGAACACAATTTAAGATATTTTTGATGAAATCTGAGGGCTCTCTGACCCTCCCATAGACAGCAAGGTAACTACCATGTTCAAGGTCCAGAAAAGTACCAAGATGATCGGCAAAGTAGTCCGTGTGACATCAGTGGTTCAACTGTAAAATGACGTCATTACGCCGGATCTGGGTCAGCGCCGCCACACGCTCGCGTCATGATACTGCCGTGAACGCGTGTCCACAAGTGACGCAGTGGAGACGAAAATGTGGAATAAAGTCGTTATTTTTGTTTTCTTTGTGTAAAAAAGTATTCTCGTAGCTTCGTAACTTTACAGTTGAACCACTGATGACACACAGACTACTTTTTCGATCATCTTGGTATTTTTCTGGACCTTGAACGTGGTAGTTACCTTGCTGTCTATGGGAGGGTCAGAGAGCCCTCAGATTTCATCAAAAATATCTTAAATTGTGTTCCGAAGATGAACGAAGGTCTTACGGGTTTGGAACAACACGAGGATAATTAATGACAGAATTTTCATTTTGGGGTGAACTAACCCTTTAAGTAAGAGCTATAAAACGAATTTGAAGTTTGGAGTTCATATTAAGACACGTGAGATTTCTGGTGTCTTAGCAGAAAAATCTGAGACTTAAGCCTCAATTTGATCTCAGTTTAATAACTGAGATATTAAAGAGATCTCCTTGGTGATCTTTCTTTCCATCATAGCATATTTCCTGACATTCAATGGCCCCTGCAAACATACACACGCTCACAAAATGGTTTACATATGACCACAGTATTGAAGTACTTCCTGACACTTGAGGTCTTTCAGAAATGCACACTTCATGGATACGATCACACACACACACACCGCACGCACGCACAGTGACTTCCATCTGTCTGACCGCAGACCAGTAAGTGGTGCCATTTGCGGTCAAAGATTTGGTCTGTTTCCTGGTCAGGATGTAGTGAGGTGCACACTGTTGCATTATGCATGTTAGCATGCACACAGGATGCTGTCTTGTGCATGACGACAGATAGCCTTTGTTTTCGTAAAACTATGTTGAATTCACTAATACTCAGTTAAACCTGTCCAAATTTTTTTTAAATGTACCAAAAGATCTAAACCTTTCTGTTCTAAATCACACTCAAAAACACACACAGGCACAGACACAGAGGTTGTGAAGTGGCTCTAATAACTAAGAAAGTCCAGCATGTGAGAAGGTAAGCAAATATTGAGACTTTCTTTAGAGAAGAAAGCAGTTATTAGAGCTGAAATGGAAAAAGACTTTGAAACATATAGGACATATTTTATCATCATTAACACCCTCATGTCATTTTAAACCCATCTGACGTTCGTTCGTCAACAAAACATTGCTCGTTTTTGTACAATATGGTGACCATACGGTTCTTAAGACTCATGCAATATAGTCTTACGATTTTATTGTGTGTGCAGTTTTATGCAAACAACAGATTACTGAACAAATTCTCTAGGTCTCCCATTCGCAATTTAACAAATTCTTTGATATATCTGGACATTTTTTCATTTGTTGTTATACAGAAAGTCAGTCAAACTTTAAAACAACATGAAGGTGAGTAAATAATGACAGAATTGTAATTTTAGACTAACTATTCCATCAAAACACGTCTTTCCAAACATGCAACCACTAAAATGTTAGTTGGGAACAGAAAATTGAAAATAATAGGGATCTCGAGACACTTGGGTGCAGTTTTATTTTGTATATTTTTATATTTTATTTTTAATTTTATTATATATATAAACAGTGCAGACATTTAAAAATGACAAAAACACAATACAATTACTAAAACAAACTAAAATTAAACAGAAAATATAAAAATGACATGTAATTTAAAACATTTTATAAATTATGAATACATTTATAAAAAATTTTTTAGATCTGTAAATTCAGTGTGCGGACATTTTTTTCTTTGGGAAATATTACCAACTATAATAGCATATCTAGTAGAGCTGGGACATTAAATCGATGCATCGCGATTCGTGGATCGATTCTGAGATTTTCGGAATGCATCATGATTCTCTCTCAAATCGATTCTGAGCTTAGTTTTTAACAGCAGATGGCGCTCTAGGCTAGTTTTTAACCGCACACTCAAATGCTCACGAAGAAGAGCGCTTGTGCGTTCGGCTGAGTAATGTAAGTGGTTAAATGTACTTGCACATGAGCTTTTATGATGCAAGATTAATGTAAACACAGCCCACTGTGAACATCCTTGTAATTCGCTTCAACCTTTTTGAACTTTATGAATGATTATTTTAGGTTCAAATGGTGCATGTGTAAGGAACTGGAAGCAAGCAGAATATAGCTTTTTCTAAAGCATGCAGCGCCATCTGCTGTTAAAAACTAAGCTCAGAATCGATTCAAGAGAGAATTGCGAAGCCTTCGGAAAATCTCAGAATCGATGCAGAATCATTTCTCGATTCGCGATGCATCGATTTATTATCCCAGCCCTAATATCTAGTATAATGCTACTAAAAGTGCCAAGTGCCTCTTGTTCCCTCTCAAAGACCAATGGTGTGCTATCAACCAACGTGGCTTCGACATAAAGGAGGCGTAGGTACGGAAGCAGTAGAGGACGAGTGTATACCTGGAAGCACCGTCAACCAAGCAGTGTGATAGGAGATCCCAATAGAGTTACCCGCCAAGCACGTATACTCGCCCGCATCCTCGAAAGTTACATTAGGCAGGTAGAGCACCTCAATCTCTTTGTCCGTAGTGTTCACACCTGCCGTCTGAGAGAAACAAAGCAGGAAACGCAGGAGAAGAGGAAGATGGGAGGGAGATACAAGAATGGATGGAAGAAAGAAAAGAAAAGAAACAAATCAGACCCATAATACCAAGAAGAGAAAAAGAGATGTTCAATGTTGTACTTCCCATCTACGCATTACAGAGATGGTAGATGTTCCACTTCAGGAGAGAGGATCGTCAAATAGGAAGGGCAGGATAAAATCATAAAATAAACGTAGATCTAAACGAAGGTCGAAATCTCTGTACCCAACACAGGTGAACCCACCAGATCTTCAAGGGTTCATGCAAACACAAGTGAAGAAACATGGAAAACAAGCCGCTGCCTTTTCGCCAAGAAAGTACTGAAGAAAAGCGATAAATCAAAGGGGAAAAAGTAGGAGGGAAACTTGACACAGAACAGAAGGCAGGAAGGCAGTGGCAATGACAGACCAAAGGCTTGTTTCCATGGCCGATTGGGCACCAGGAAAGATCCACCAAAAATAAGAAAAACACCAGACCACACCACACCGGCTCAGCGAAAATCTCAGGATCACCACGACGACAAAAAAACAACCCAAAACACCAGCAGTGGGGAAGGGGACGCCGGGGGATCGACGTCTCGGTCTCGTTTTTACCTGCTAGGACAGTGAGCCAACCGGACTGGCTGACCTGACCGATATAATTGGACACTTGGCACGTATATTCACCAGAGTCCTCTTCCGTGACGTTGGTGAGCATGAGCACTTCCACGTCCGAGCTGTTTATGCCCGAACGCTAGGGGGCACCGCAACAAGGGACAAAAACACACATATGGGAACTTACTCTTTAGGAGAGCAGAAAAGGAGGCAGCACCACCCGTTACATGGAATAAGATATATGAGAATATCTCCTGCAAGAATAAAGTGTTTTTGCATCTTCTCATTCTTTCTAAAAGAAATCAACTGCATCAAAACATGCATGTTCCCCAAAATGCAAGGATAAAATACATGGAAAAAAAGAGGCCTATACAGCCAAAATGAAAACCAAGCCTACCTTCAACACCCGGACATAAGGGAGTCCATCAGGACCGTAACGGCTGCCGTTCTTCACAATGTGCTGCAGCCACTGGATGTGAGGTTGAGCGTCACTGTAAACTTTGCAGACGAACTTAGCGTCCTCTCCGACTTGCACAGTGACGTTGGCTGGAAGGCCTGCCTGAAGAATGGGCCGGTGAGGAGAGCGTTCTGACAGAAAGGATGAATGAGCATTATTATATTAATGTTTACCAAGGACACTACTGTTTCAGTCTGTAAGGTCTTTTTGAATGAAGTTTTATCTTCACAAAGGCTGCATTTATATGCTCAAAATTACAGAAAAAAAATCAAGATTATGAAATATTATTGCTATTTAAAATAAATAAATAAATATTTTTATAAATGCAATTTATTCCAGTGATGCCAAGCTGAATTTTCAGCATCATTACTCCATTGATACATGATCCTTCAGAAATCATTCTAATATGTTGATTCGCTGCTCATTTCTTATTATTATCAATGTTGAAAATGCTTAATATTTTTTTTATTTTGTGGAAACTAGCCCAATCTGCATGGTAAGACTATATGCGTAAAACTATATGCGAACTATATAAGTGAAACTATATGCGAACATACAGTGTTCAGATCACCACACCTACCGTCCTATTAGGCTGCTGTCACAAAACAGAGGCTGTTGCGTTATCTCTACTGATAAGGACTGAACAAACAGATGAAGAAAGGCAAAGTGGGGGGAAAAATAAGACAGATGTACAGTGTCCACCGTATATCAGCAGCAGTTCCTGCAGCGTTGGCGTATCAGAAACCTTCATTTCATTTCCTTTTACCCCTTAGAAATGATCATATAAAATAAGAATGCTGTGATTTTTGTTTTCCAAAAGCCACAATAATGAGCAAACTAGTTTTGAGTAGCTAATACATGTGAAGTTTGTGAGCAGTTTCCTATTATTTGAAAAAACTGACTGTTTATAAGGACAAACAATTTTCAGTGTTACTTTAGTATAATTATATTTTTTATTAAAGGGGTCATATGACGTTGCTAAAAAAGAACATTATTTTGTGTATTTGGTGTAATGAAATGTGTTTATGTAGTTTAAAGTAAAAAAAAAAACATTATTTTCCACACACTGTACATTATTGTTTCTCCTCTATGCCCCGCCTTTCTGAAACATGTCGATTTTTTCACAAAGCTCATCGGTCTGAAAAAGCGAGGTGTGCTCTGATTGGCCAGCTATCCAGTGCGTTGTGATTGGCCGAATACATCAAGCATGTGATGGAAATGTTACGCCCCTTAACATACTGTGATACTGTGATCCCGCGACGAGACAAAACCAATAAAACGCATTATAAATGAGGCATTTGTTGCATCCAGTGGGGACATAATTACTGATTATAATGACTTATACTGTCTTTTTATGCATTGCGTTGCATCGTGCCGCGTAAACATAAAACCATGTCTGCATTTGTGATCGGAGAAACAACAAACGCTACTCTACACTGCTCAAAACTCGCGTTTGAATCATCAGTGGCAAATCCTTTAAATATGAAAGTGTACTTACACTTACATTATTTGTCAGAACACCGGCATTGTAGGTTATACTCTCCCAGGAAACAGTCCTTATCCTCCGTAAAATGCGTTGCTCACATCTGAATATTTGGGTTGAACTGTTCTAGAACAGTGTTGTAAATACAACTCAACCACTGATTTCTAGTTGTGTCCTCTTTTGGAAGGCCAAACAAAGTAGTTTCGCTTTCATAACGAAACACACAGCGTCTCCATGTCATGGCAGCGGCAGCAACAATACTACAGCGAGAATCAAAGTTACGCCTTCTTTCTTTGCGTGAACATTTGGGCGGCGTTATGCAAATCTTCCCACACAGTGATGTAGACACGTGGGGGCGTGTTTAAACGAGGCGTTTTAGGAGGGTGTGGACAACTCTTAACTTTTATAAAGAATATCTCTTTGGGTTTGAGACTTTAGTCTTTGCAACTTTATGGATCTTATCTATTCACGAACAGCTTGTAGCACTCCAAAGAGAAAGGAAAACTTGAAATCGCATCATATGAACTAGGGCTGGGTGATTTCGCAAAAAATTTAAATCTCGATTTTTCCAGAACGTTTGACCGATTCTGATGAAACGATGAAAATGCTTTTAAAAAATCTCAAAAGTCAAGGTAATTAAAATTCAAAATGACTGAAGGTATAACACCAGTAGACTATTATTAACTATAAATGTTCTTTAAAAACAACAGCAGCTTTTAGCCTGTCACCATGACGCAAACATGAAATATCAGACATACAGTAGTAGTTCTTTACAGGTTTTTTATTCGATTGCGCTGCTTTTCCATTGTTTTTTTCTATGTAAACATGGATGTGTTTGACTGTTGCGCTCGCGTCTCTTGCAGCGTCTCATGCATGAAACGCCATTCTAAAAACACTGCGCTCAAGTTAAAAGAAGTTCACTCCCATCTTCTTGCATGTTTTACCTATTCCACTGCCCGCGTCGCATCTTTGGCAACACAAAAGCGCATTCTGTGTTTCTGTGTGATAGCTCTATATTTATGGTCCTTCACAGAGCGCGTCACACGTGACCGGTTAATCACGTGCGCCGACATGCAGACATGCATTTCTTTTCTCTTTACTGTTAACACCGGCATATTGTCAAAGTGTCTAATTCTAACATTTGGTAATATTTCTATTCAAAATCGCTATTCCTCAATTTCTAAAAAATTTAATTGAGGCAAAACAATAAATTCGAATTAATCGATTAAATCGGGAAAATCGCCCAGCCCTAATATGAACCCTTTAATAGTTAGAGTTTTTATGTTAATGTTTTTATTTGAATTTTAGTCATTTTTATTAGTTTTTGTTTTTAAAATATGCCTATAATTTTATTTTTATTAATTTTTATTACAGTTTTAGTTTTATATATTTTGGTACATTAACTTGGCAACTAAATAAAATAAAATAATTTTTTTCCCGGTATTTTTTTTCAGGTAATTATTTTATTTCAAGTAACAATTTATTTATTTGTATCATTACTTTTTAATGGTTGTAGTTTTAAGTTAACTATAATAACCCTGCTTTGGTTACAGTTAGAACTACTGCATCACGTTTTCCAAAGAAAAAGGGGGAAAAAAACACAAACTAAACAGACTACAAACACACACCTCATTGTCTTCACAACACAACATTACTCTTGCCCTGTAATTGTGACACGTCTCCTGGTTACCCCAAAATACACACACACACACAGGCATGATGTCACACATGAGATGTGGAGAGGTCAACCTTCACAGACATGCAGGGAAGGTTTGTGGGGGAAGTAAGAGGATTTAGGACTGAGGGGCACAAGAGGGGGCACAAGAAAAGCTCAAAACAATGGTGCAAAGCAGAAACAGAGAGCAAAAGAAAGAGGGGTTGGGGTCAAGGGATGCAGAGGATAAAGGATGCCCAACAGATGGGCAGTGAAAAGAAAAGACAGACAGATGAAGAAGAACAGAGGAGAAACAAAAAGGTGGAGAGACAAACTTTGCTGACACACAAAGATCTAAACCTTACAAAATCTCCACGTCTGGCAGAAAGTCTAGCAAGTATTTTAAACTGATTGTGTTTAGGGTTGGCTATTGAGAACTGGTTCCAAATTTCCAAGACTGGAGGATTTGATAAGACAAGCAATTACAGTTCAGCTTATCGATTCATGTGTGTGCATTTTGTTGTGATTTTCAACCATTTAAGCATAAGAAGATGCAAACGCCATTCTAAAAACACTGCGCTCAAGTTAAAAGAAGTTCACTCCCATCTTCTTGCATGTTTTACCTATTCCACTGCCCGCGTCGCATCTTTGGCAACACAAAAGCGCATTCTGTGTGAATGGCGCTTAGCTCTATATTTATGGTCCTTCACAGAGCGCGTCACACGTGACCGGTTAATCACGTGCGCCGACATGCATTTGAATCGTTCTTTTCTCTTTACTGTTAACACCGGCATATTGTCAAAGTGTCTAATTCTAACATTTGGTAATATTTCTATTCAAAATCGCTATTCCTCAATTTCTAAAAAATTTAATTGAGGCAAAACAATAAATTCGAATTAATCGATTAAATCGGGAAAATCGCCCAGCCCTAGAGAGACAAACTTTGCTGACACACAAAGATCTAAACCTTACAAAATCTCCACGTCTGGCAGAAAGTCTAGCAAGTATTTTAAACTGATTGTGTTTAGGGTTGGCTATTGAGAACTGGTTCCAAATTTCCAAGACTGGAGGATTTGATAAGACAAGCAATTACAGTTCAGCTTATCGATTCATGTGTGTGCATTTTGTTGTGATTTTCAACCATTTAAGCATAAGAAGATGCAAAAGGAAACTCAATCTGGCACTTGTCCGCATTTTCTCCAAAGCATGCGCACAAAAAGCAGCTTCATATAGTGTGTGAATTCTGAACTTTCTTTCACATCGTCTTGTACTTAGACAAATACACAGAATTACGTTAAAATATCCGTGTAAACACAGTAGGTTTTGTCTTAAGTGAACGCAAGCAGCATTTAAACTGAAAATTCATGTGTAGAATTTGATCGGTACATTAGGTCTTAAAGTGACAGCAGCGTAATATTCCTGCAGTTGTTTGCGCCATTAATGTTTATCAAAGAACAAAAGAAAAAGAAAACTCACTGATCTTGACTTTTATAACTTCAATAGGGATACATCTATATTTCATTTCTAAGTAAACTATACAGTGTTATTTTAAATTTGATTTCTACTTCTGTACCTGAACTTTGTTCAGTTGTATTTATTTGTGCTGTTGCTAATTCGTTTATTTGCTTTTATTTTGTTACTGACCGTTTACTTGTTTTTAATGATGTTTGAAATCTATATTAGTTAGTCTAGTTGTTTTTTGCTGTGGCATTATTGGTAAAACAATAAGCAAAAGTTCATTATGCAAGTATTCTTTAGGCTGTTGATTTTTTTATGGTATTCAGCGGTAACCGAATGTTTTGCAAAAAAAAATAAACTGGCTAAATATGTTTGATATGTAAATGTTTAACTTAATTTTCTATACCTTATTGGAATCTAAACTGGTAATTGTGAAGAATAATATTCTCCAAGCAGAATCAGAATCGCTAAAATACAAGCCCAACCATAATTGTGTCACGTTATTGCTTAATATTGCTTACTCAAGTTTGTTAGCCACTACCCTTACCAAACAACTTTCCAAAAACCCAACTGAAACCAGGTTGAAGGTCAGATCAGACTCCTCCTCTACAAACCCATTGAGTCAACCACAAGTTAAGCCAAGTGCCAGTCGCTCTCCCACATTCTCCACCAAATCACAATCGATCAATTACATCATTAGCCAGGCATTTTCAGGCTGATCTGGCATCCTGAAGCAAGCCTGTTGAACTCTGGATAACCTGCTGACTTAGCATATGCGGACCAAAAACAGCCAGGGAGGGGTTGCTTGGGCTGCGGCATGGGATTGGTTGAGAGAGAAATCAGGGTGGAGATGAACTAAGGTACTGTGCCAACTAGGTCTGGGTGGTTTGATAAGTCGATCAGTAGAGATATTGCTGTATGGTTTATTATGCGTTTATATGGCTATAAGTGCAGAGAACTACTTTATATTATTTACACATGAACAAGATTGAGGTAAAATTAGGTAAAAGCATGAAGTAATACAAATCAAGATGAGGAAAAACGTATTAACTTTAGAATGTTTCATTGAATTTTATGACTTAAATTATTGTGATTTATCTCCAAACTCTAGTGCCAATGGTAGTGGATGGTGACCGGGCGTCCTGAACTCAAATACGTAAATAATGTGTGCACAAATTGGTAGAAGAGGCTATTGTTGGAAGAGAACTACAGTAGAAGTTTCTGGAATCTGGCCGACGTCCACAATAAATAGCGATAATTAGAGTATTTTTGGCTCTTTTAAGTGTCAGCGCTTTGTACTTTGTCCAGCTCAGAAATGCAGGCCAGTTCAGACTGGCGCAACTTTCATTGACCTGTTCGAGGGGTCAGCGAGGCTCCTATTCCGGCACAGGGAAAACTTTTTCTCTCTCCTGACCATCTTTTTCTCATCTTGTCATTTTCATAGACTTCCCAGATAGGTTAGGCTGACATTAAAATGAAAAATAACAGCATTATGCCTTCCTCTGCCTCTTTTCTCTCCTGCTTACTCTGCGATGAGAGTATTAGACTGAGCCAGACACAAAAGGGCTTTACGGCCATGCAATAAAACAGAAAAGAAAAACAGAGACCTTCTGAAAGACTGCTTTTACTTAACCCAGAAAAGGGGCCCTAAATAGGGAGCATGTATATGTGTGTGAGAGCCTGGCGTGTCTGCGTTTGTACATGTGTGCATGTTCTTGGGCGTGTGCATGCAAAAATATAGTTTGAGGTTTAGATGGGGCAGTTCTACTCAAACAATAAACTAGTGCAGACAGCTGTGAATTAAAAGGGCAGTTCCCCCCAAAAAATTAAAATTAAGCCTTCCAAGTATTTTAAAGCTGCATTATAGCTTAGACACGTGCACAATACAAACAAGAACACCATATATGGCTTTAGAAGACTTGAAATATAGCTCGCATGTTATATGGAAGAGAAAATAAGTGGTCAATCAATACTCATTTTTAATGACTGGCAATGATTTGATAATATTTTAGTTTATCAAGGATGTATTAAATTCTTTAAAAGTGACAGTAAAGTCATTTTAAAGTTTTCTCTTTCAAAAAAATAAATGCTTTTTGAAACTTTCTATTCATCTAAGAAAACATATTTTTCACAAAGATATGAAGGTATACTGTATATAAGCACAACTGCTTTCAACATTGACAATAATTAGAAATGTTTCTTGAGCAGCAAATCAGCATATTGGAATTATTTCTGAAGGATCATGTGACACTGAAGACTGGAGTAATGATGCTGAAAAGTCAGCTTTTCATCACAAGAATAAATTACATTTTAAAATATAAAAAAAAAAATTATATATATATATTTATATATATATATATATGTATATAGATAGATAGATGTAGATAGATATATAGATATAGATATAAAATTTCCATATTAATGCTTAAATCAGTTTGCAAATCAGGTACGGCAGGCAAAATATCATCTGTCTTATCAGTCTGGCCAACATATAGATCTATCACTATGTAAATGATAACAAAATTTTCTTTCTTCTTTTTTTAATATACACTCACACTTTATTTGCTCTGCTGTCCGCTCAAAGCTACCCACAGTGCGCTGTTTACAAGTGTCCAAATCAAACAAGTATCTAAACTAGTGCTGGGCGGTATGACCAAATATTTATATCACGGTATTTTTCAAAATTATACCGGTTTCACGGTACATGGCGATATTTTTTTTTCAAGCATGACCAGGCATTAACCATATTTTCTACTGATTGAGAGAGGAAATACTGCAGTATATTGACTTAGAATGCCCTATTTTACCGTCATGATGAGTGAATATTGTCAAAAAATACCACACTAAATAGTGACTAAACACGACCTCTTTTAACACATGTTAACCAGGAGTCACTCTCACTTATAATCACAGCATCGTCTGATAAAATCAACATGCATCTACACTAAAGAGCGGCTATGTGGTGTTTATCCAAAAAAGTCGCTAGGTTTGTCAGTATGAATATTCTATGGAAAAAAGCCGCTAAAAGGGTCTGAAAGTAGCTAAATCTAGTGCTAAAGTCTCGCTCGTGTGTGTGTGAGACGCGGGAGCTGATGGCAGGGGGCGGTCAATTGGATATTGTGGATGAGTTCTTCTGTGTCATCACGTTCTATTAGTTCTACAGCTTCAGTTTCTGAACTTTCACGCTTAGTAACACATACAGCTGTTCCCTCACCACAGTGCAACAGTGAAAAGGGACCCCTTTCAAACAGTGTCGCGTTCCCAACGTTGTTTTAATGACATGCACCGGTATTGCGGTATTTTAAAAATTCATATCATGACAAAAATAAACACCGGTATTCGATATGAACCGGTATACCGCCCAGCACTAATCTAAACACATGTAAATAGCACTCACCTACTACATCCAGCGTGTAGGTGTGATTGATGGATCCGTAAGCGTTCTCCAGCAGGCAGGTGTAGTTTCCTTTATCAGAGGGGACGACGCTCTCCATGATTAGAGTCCAGTGCTGGAGTCGGAGCTGAGCCGGACAAATTTTAAAAAAAAACTTAGTACAACAGAACACATTCAGAATAGTTTAGTCACTTGTTTATGCAATGTTCCCAGTTAACATAACCAAACACAGGTGGTTGTTTTTGTTATTCTCGAAATCATCTCAAATAAAACTCCAGGTTTAGTCAAGCATCTATTATCCTCAATTTCACACCTGTGTGTGACGTCTTACAAAATGAAGGGCAAATCTGACAGCAGCACTGACTGAACTAACAAGAGTGAGAGAAATTGGCCTAGAAGACGAGGGTTTTTCGAGCAAGAGCACCATGGGAAAAGTAATATCGCCGTGCCGACAGACGAGCGAGCTCCCGCTCCCACCCCAGGAATGTAGCTCTCGTGACTGCAGGCCACAAAATCCAGCGACTCTTCCATGGAGACTTTCACTCCACAACCCTCGGCCTTCTGAGACCCTTCAAATGACCACAAAATAAGGGTTCATCCACCTGAGGCACATGTTATCCATAAACCATAAGCTCGCTTATTTTATGAAACATTTTGGGCTTATTCTAACTAAATGAGATATTTTTCATGAAGATTTGTTTTGTATATTCTAAAATGCAACAATAATCATGGTTACAATAGTTAGGCTTCACTAAGACCAAAACCGGAAAAATACACTTTCGATAAAATGTAAAACATGAAATGTGTGTCGATTGAAATAAAATAAAATACAACTTTTTTTTCAACTAGTTTTCAAGGCAACAATTATAATTTTCGATTTGTTTATCTTCAAACTAAAACTGAAATAAAATAACTAAAAACTATATAGATACATTTAAAAGCTAAAACTAATATAATGATAAAAACACAACACAATTACTAAAACTTTAACTAAAATGAACATGAAAGCAGAAACTATAAAACTAAAATCTATTGCAAAATATTAACAAAAACTATAAAAGTACCTCAATAAAACTAAAATAACAGGTCATAATCTGATGCTTATCTTTGATGACATATTAATTTTTTATGTTTAAAAAGCATAAATGTGACCCTGGAGCACAAAAGCAGTCTTAAGTCGCTGGGGTATATTTGTAGCAAAAGCCAAAAATACATTGTATGGGTCAAAATTATTGATTTTTCTTTTATGTCAAAAATCATTAGGATATTAAGTAAAGATCATGTTCCATGAAGATATTTTGTAAATTTCCTACTGTAAATATATTAAAACTTAATTTTTTATTAGCAATATGCATTGCTAAGAACTTCATTTGGACAACTTTAAAGGAGATTTTCTCAATATTTAGATTTTTTTTTGCACCCTCAGATTTCAGATTTTCAAATAGTTGTATCTCGGCCAAATATTGTCCGATCCTAACAAACCGTACATGAATGGAAATCTTATTTATTCAGAAATTTAAAAAAAATTGACCCTTATGGCTGGTTTTGTGGTACAGGGTCACATATTTTAAAAGTTATTATTGTTATTATAACTTTTAAAATACAATAAAATTAAATCACATTTTATCTTTAATAAACCAAATGTTTTCATTAGTTGTTAGTTGTCATGAGTTTTATTCAAATGTTTCATCTGATCAATTAAGGTTCTTCAGAAAACATCATCAATAATAATAATTCATAATTAAATAATTCATAATAAATGGTCATTTGAGTCTGGATTATCAAATGAACCAGTTCATGGTCCTGTAGTCAGACACTGACTCATTTCTGAGTCTTCAGATCAATCGAGCGTGAGCAGCTCAATCATTAGTGACCTTCTGTGTGGATCAGCTGTGTTTTCAGAGAAGGAAGTGCAAACAGACACTGATCGGGGTACAACGACCAATCGCCCCGCACATCTATTACACTTTAACCAAGAGTCAGTGTTTCACCAGCTGTTTCATGCCTACAATTCTGACTCTGCATGTATAAATAAAATACTTCAATGTAACTATTTTGCTTTCTAAAAAGCTTTTTGTTTTGGCTGTTAAGCATTAATAAATTTACCATGAGTTCCAGATCTCATACAGCACTAGTGAATCTCTCTTACCTTGTAACCGCCCATGCGATCCTCCTGTTTGAAGGGTTTTCCATTTTTTTGCCAGCGCATTTCAGGCTTGGGATTTCCTGCCGCTGCGCACCGAAACTTCACAGTGTTGGCAGCAGGTACGGCGTGCAGCTTCTTCTCCATCTTCTCCGGCGAAGTCCAATACGGCGCCACTGCAGGAAAGAAGAAGCAATTACAAACATTTGCATCATCCAAATATCAACAAGAACCACATATTTGCAGTGCACTATATATATTTCTTTGATGTGCCGAAGCCTTTAAGATTACATGCAGCTTTGATATGCATCGCATAAAACCTCCATGCAAACTGGAGATTTTTTTTTTTATCTACGCCTCCACTCTTATCTGCTTTCAGCCGTTCATAGATCAGCCCCTGACATCTACAGTGTGTTTTCTATATCTATGTTTATGGAAAAACTTAGGATCAAAGCCAGGAACAGTAGCTTTTGGATTGTACAGTAGATGAATCAGCTTGGATTGTACAGTACACTGAAGATGAATCACTAAGTATGATTTTTAGTTCAGAAGATTGGCATTAGTCATATAACAAATCAATTCAAAATCAAAATTGCAATATGACCTTGTGCGACTGCTAAATCAATCAGCGATTTAAAAAAATTGAAATTTATTTAAATAAATATTACAACTATTGTACTATGAAAAGTTAATTTTGGCCTTATGTGTCTGTGCAGTGAATGCAGTGTTGTTATTGTAAAACAATTAAAACTTTTTGTATTCATTGAAATAGCATTCCATTAAAAATGTAATTAAATAAGTGGACAAAAAAACGTCGAAATTACAAAAAGGCTTGCAACAAAAATCAAATAAAAAATATGGCAAGTAAGTGAAATAAATTAGTTGAAGTACTAAAATTACTCAAATTAAAACATTAAAGCTATATAGAAATATAAAAAAAACTATTCAAAATGTATAACTTCAACTAAAATTAAAATGAAAACTGAATACAGCACATAAAAAATGCCAAAGGACACTGATTCAATGACACAAAGAAATTCAATGAAATGGCAAATCAATCCGAGGTCCATTTTGATTCAACCCCAACATCCCAAAAGAAATGCATCATTGCCAAGAGAGAGAAAGCAGGAGCCCGTCTGAAACCCAGCAAGGGGAAAGAGGAAGGCATGACCACGGATGCAAATCGAAACAGTTATTCACACTCGCAGCACTGCATGACTGCACCGCCCATCTGCTTAATGGAACCCTGCAACTCACAGTGAGCGGCTTAAATAAAAACATATTCCCATTTGCTCTGAAAACACACAAGAGAAAAGAAGGATAAAACAAGTCGGTCCAAAAGCACAGCGGCTTGCCAAGAAGGAACTGGACCATCACATCCAATTTCTTTTGTTCGACAGACATGCTAACCGGAAGGTTGCAAACGACTTGATATCAGACGTGTAAACAGACATCTTCCCTTCAGCGTGAAGGCATGATAATTGGTTTTCAACTCAACCCTTTTCTTCGACGTCTATCTGTCCGTCTGTTTTCTTTCCTCACCACCCAACTTTTTCATCTCACCTCGTGGGAATTCTTTCGTGACGGTCGTTCTCTTTGACCTCAGCGCCCTGACGGACAGCAGACTACATGTCTGTAAGCCCGACTCCTTTTAACTTTGTTAACGGTTCAGGTTTTCGTTGAGAAAATGAAGATGGGAATGACCCTCAGACGTTGGGGCAGTAGGGTCAGATGTGCTGGGAAACCCCAAAACAGGTGACCTCCAGTGAAAGATGGACTGACCATTGAACCTTTATTGACATTTTTCTTCAAAAACTCTGGGACTATCAACAAATACCACCGGTATCTGCAAAAATCCATCAGTAAACAGAAACACTGAGACATCCCAGCAGCCAGTTCCATCAAATTACACAGAGAAAGAAAAAACATGCAAACCAGACCTTTAGACTTTAAACAATCCCAGTGTTGTCTACTCCAGCACATCTCATACGAAGGCAAAACATCTCACAAATAAAGGAAACTTTCTCGTGAGAGGGGGAAAAAATTTGTGTTTTTGAGAGTGTGGTTGTTGAGGCCCCTTTGCACAGAAATATCAAAGAGTTCTGAGTGGTTCAGCTGGGCAGAAATCCAACCCACTGAGCCCGAAACCGCCCCAAGCACAATGCTAAACACCCCTCCATCCCAACCCCAATCCCCCCACACCCGCCTCAGCTCCACTCGTACGCGGCCAAAGGCCAGACCTCCAAAGCATACACAGAAAAGTGTTGGTGCAGATCCAAACCAGAGCCCATTAGCTGGAAGACCTCGCTCCACCCCTCTAACCAGACCTTTAGACTTTAAACAATCCCAGTGTTGTCTACTCTCATACGAAGGCAAAACATCTCACAAATAAAGGAAACTTTCTCGTGAGAGGGGGAAAAAATTTGTGTTTTTGAGAGTGCGGTTGTTGAGGCCCCTTTGCACAGAAATATCAAAGAGTTCTGAGTGGTTCAGCTGGGCAGAAATCCAACCCACTGAGCCCGAAACCGCCCCAAGCACAATGCTAAACACCCCTCCATCCCAACCCCAATCCCCCCACACCCGCCTCAGCTCCACTCGTACGCGGCCAAAGGCCAGACCTCCAAAGCATACACAGAAAAGTGTTGGTGCAGATCCAAACCAGAGCCCATTAGCTGGAAGACCTCGCTCCACCCCTCTTTCCAACAACTCTCTTTAATATTTAGTTTTGCACAACTCAAAACAGATTCTGGTGGGTATGGCACTCGTTTCAACAGAGGAAATGCAGTCAATATCCTTTCCTCACCTGTCACGGCTTCTCTTTCACATAAAATTCTAGAAAATGTGAAGCGATCAGGGATAACCATGACAAAAAAAACCCATAAATTTCTGAAAGAATGAGTCCTGAAACTGGAAATAAGTTGGCATTTTTGATCTTACAAATCCATCGTCCCAAAGTCAATGGGTTTTTGGCCTGAAATAAGGTCTGTGGTTAAAGGGATAGTTCACCCAAAAATTGTAATTCTGTTATTAATTACTCACCCTTCGTTCATCTTCGGAACACAAATGAAGATATTTTTGATGGAATCTGAGAGCTGTCTGACCCTCCCATTGACAGCAACGCAACTGAAATGTTCCCAAGTCCAGAAACGTAGCAAGGAGATCTGTAAAATAATCCACGTGACACGTCTCCTTGCTACGTTTCTGGATTTGGGAACATTTCAGTTGTGTTGCTGTCTATGCAGGGTCAGACAGCTCTCAGATTCCATCAAAAATATCTTAATTTGTGTTCCGAAGATGAACGAAGGGTGAGTAATTAATAACAGAATTACAATTCTGTTAGAGCACAAAGACACAAAGAAGAAGGAAAGAGAAGGCCTGGAATTCTGGGAATGTGTCTGTGCTGTAATTCGCTCAAGATGTTGTCCTGTTTTATTTTACAACATAAAATACATCGGTAATACCCCACTCGTGATTTTTTAAAGCTTTTATGCATCTTGAAAAAGGTGACTACAGAATGTGACTACAGAAGTTGTTGGATACATTAGACATCATGTTGAACTCATGAACTCACTAGCCGCTTTTACAGCTTTGTTGTGTTTATAATCACGCTCTTGCAAACTAATTCTAACTTTGCAACTAGTAGATTTTAAAGGATTTAAAGAGTTGTTGGAAGTGTAGCGGTGGTGACGATAAAGTCGTGCGACTGGTGTAGTTTGTTTATATAGTAGCTTTAGCTTTTTACCTCTGGCCATTGTATTTAGGCTTCAAAATTCATATGAGTTGTGTTCATTTGTGAAGATTATCATGATGGAAAAAACATGGAAGAATCATAAACTTTTTTTGGTCACAGAAGCCAATGGAAAAATCCTTGGCTTTTTGTCGAGGCAACCAGCTAACTTTAGGGGTTTGCCTACAACAATACATCACCCTTGCAGTACTCTATTTATTAACAAGATTTTTAATGCCCTTTAAATTTCTCCTTTTTCTATATTTTGTTAATATTTCACCTCAGGTCTTTCCCTTTTACCATTCTCAGAGCGAAGCCCAATTCAAAACACTCTTAGCAGGTAATTTACAGACAGGCCTCTCATGGACCGAGAAATGGAGAGCACAAAGACACAAAGAAGAAGGAAAGAGAAGGCCTGGAATTCTGGGAATGTGTCTGTGCTGGAATTGCTTGGTGACATAGTTAACATCAGACTCCACTGCAGGCTTGTCCTGTCAGTAACAAAAATAGCAAAAAACAATACCTATGCGAATATAAAAACAGCATGCCAACCGTGTTGCATCTAAATTCAACATTGGAAATACAAGTGCATTTCACATGGTACTCTGTGACAACTGGTGTTCGGCCCCCGGTCCCGATACTCACGCATTTGCTCGCCGTCCACCCCGACATCGTCCGATCGCTCCGTGTCGTCCTCATCGTCACCGGATGAGATGGCATCTGCAGAGAGTACCGGGAATACTGTAACCGTGCTTTGTTTCTCCTGCCGTCACAACACCCACACGCCTATCACTAATCAACTATTTGCTCTTTTTGACATTAATATAGTAATAACAGTGCTGAACACAGCTCATCCAATCAGAAGTTTAAGTACAATTTTAGAGTGCATTTTGAAAAATAGTATTACTTTTACTATTTGGAGTCTTTATTTTTTAACTCAAGTCTTAAACATGTGAACCTGTTTTAGCACTGATGCCATAATTTGTCATTCATTTGTTATGAATAATCATTGTGTCCATGCAAATTCAAAGAAAAATACGAACTTTTCGTTCATAATTACTGTTTTTAATTAAATTTAACTGACTGACTGAATAAGATATTTATTGATAAATATATTTATATAATTAATTTAGAAATTAATAAACTAATATGTTTGTGTGTGCATATATGCATATATTTTTCGAAATATACATTTATTTATTTATTTTTAAAAATATACACACATATCTCAAATTAATATATAGAAATGTTAATATTTTTAAAAATAAATAACTGTAATATGTCATTTAATGTTACTGTGAGATAAGATTGTGTCCAGTAGCCTAGAGCGACTATGAATGCTGGCTAGAAAACTGTCAAAAAGATGAAAAATTTAGAAAATATTTTAATGTGACATGTTAAATCAGACAAAATGTCTGTATAACACAATGACAAAAAGTGTAAGACATAAGCTAACATCAGGCATATCAACTAAACTAATCTTAATACTCAATTTACAGAGCCAACGAATGTTATAAAAACAATACAAACAAACGTCAAACTCAAGACGTAAATCCGAATGCTTCATGCAAAGTCATTTTAAAGACTACATCTTCCACTGCATTGCAAACTGTAAAAATGCAATGAAAACAGACAAACAGAACCATTCAGTTCAGGCAGATACGGCGTGCGAAGACTCATCTACGAATATCAAAAAGTCTCATTCAGTAGATGGCGCCACCTGTGGTAGACAAGCGTCTCACCTGTAACGTTTACGATGAAACAAAGCGTGTCGCTGGCCCGGGAGCCCGCGGCACTGCACGCATACAGGCCCGAGTCCTTAGGGGTGGCTTCGCGGATCTGTAGCCACTCCTGATCTATGAGCGTGCGGTTGTCAGGGCCCAGCGAGGAGCCGTCTTTGGTCCAGACGATGGCGGCCGCCTCGGGCAGCGGGCAGTTGAGCTTGAGCAGTTCACCCGGGTGCACCGAGCACAGGGTGGGCTTAGAGTTTTGGTTTTTGGTTGGAGGCTCTGCAGAGCGAAGGGGAAAAGAGAGGAGGGCAGGAGGAATGGGGTGACAGGGTGCACAGAGAAAGAGAAAGAGTGTAAGACGAAAAACACTGCACCAAAATGACATCCCTAGAGTGACTAGTGAGGAGAAGAGGCTTCAATTAAATGAATAGTTCACCCAAAAGACAAAAAATCCCAAAATACAGACACCTCAGAGCATCCCATTAGCTGTGAATTGTGTGCACAGAGCATTTCTGGAAGCATGCAGCTGTACCAGTGGGGAAAAAAGTGTGGCGTTAGCAGTGCGCTGACATGAAAGAGGTGCCAGTCGAGAAATAGAGCCCAATATTTGTTCATTTCATAAACAGAGCCTTCGGTTTTCCTTTCCCTGTCATTTCAACCTCGACCTCGAGCATTATAATTAAGCCTGTTATTGCCAGTTTATTCCATTATCTTTAATTATGCTCTACAATGACTATATTGGCTAGCCAAATGCTCATAAGGAATGCCAAGAAGGTACCAAAGTGAGGCACCTAAAACAGAAAAATCAAAGGCTTGATTACAGATTGAAATAAGGTGGAGCAAAAAATCCAGTGTAAAATGCTGGAGTGCACAACAATAATGCTTTCCATATAGTGTCAGTACAAATATCTACAAATATTTAGTTAGTTTTGCATAATATTCTATAAAATCATGTTTTATATATTCAATTATACATATAACATATACTTATATGTAATTAGAAATATATTGAAAACATTGTTTACATATGGATATACTATTTAAATAAATAAATATATATATATATATATATATATATTCTATAAAATAATTGTTATATTATTAAAATATACATAATTAGTTTTTTTAGATACTGAATAATTTTTTTTCAATTCATTTTTTTTTTGTAAATTATAAACCCATATCAGCTGACTACTAGTTATGTGAAGCAAAACATACCAACTATATCCATTTCAATTCACCTGAGATTGCATTGAGAGCAAAGCCAAGATGAACAGAAATCAAATGCCCCAATCAGGTCAGAATGAGAAGTAGAGAGAGAGGAATTAAAGTTATTCTATCCGTTTAATTCACTTAATCTTATGGGTAGAATGATAAACAATGACTAACACTGCACTGCAACCACATCGGTGCCTTGATGCTGATACACAATGACTCAAATGAGGTCGAAACTGCCTTCAGAAAAAAATCCATCAACACTTGCTAATACAGATGGAAACTGTACAATCTGTATGATACAGTCTGAGCAACACCAGCACAGATTTTACATTTCTGGGCAATTAACATAGCTGGATGATTAAACCCAGACCACAGAAATTCAGCCCAAACCACAAACACGTGCAGCAAAACCCCGGACTAATTGTTCAGTAATTTGCCCAGTACACCATGATCCACTTCTGTGACAATGAAAAGTGAATGCAAAATGCAAATGCGTGAAGTTTAAGGACCACTAATAAACTTTCGACACCGTATTAGATCCCATGATTCTACAGTACTAACAATAACCTAGTGCATCTAGGCGGAAACTATGAATTAAGGCAGACTAAACAGCTTTCTAAGCATACAAAAAGACAAACTTTGAAAGCGAGAGGTATGGAAAAACATGGTCAGACTTGTCAGAAATAATCAGCGGCGCAGAGACACTCCCAACCTTTCTCGTAGTAACACACCTATCTTTCTGCACATTCTTGTCCTTTTGTGAATGTGTATGGCAGATTGAACTACACACCACAGGAAGGAAAAGTCATATGACTTGCGTTCAGTCCTCAAGGGGTTTGGAGTGTGCTTGAAGGTCTAAACTCTCTCCCCAGGCACGTTGCCCTACACACGTTTAGTTCCTGTATTGTTCCTTTTTTCGCTACTCCGGAAACAATTACCCTTTCCTTTATGCCTTTCGCGACGGTGCGGCCTTAGAACGAACTCTGATGTTGATTGATGGGACCGGTATTCATTGCCTTGCTCTTCCGGAGGCCTCTGTTTGTCCAACTGTTATTTAACTGTAATTGGTTGCGTATTTCCTTCTATTGTACGATTAAAGACAAACTGAAAAAAAACGAGGCCTGCTCCCACTCAAGTCCTGTTAAAAAGCCAACACATGTGGATCAGTTTTTTTTACATACACACTTAGGAAACTCTATAGCATGACCAGTGGACTATCGAGTCTCGCTAAACTTTTAGTATATAAATAGCGAACAGATAAAATGCAAGTAAGCAGTGCAAAAGATTAAGCTGTGCATGCTGAAAGCAGAAAGAGCCATGCAAAAAATGCAGAAGGAAGGAGACAGAAGAGCTCTCCAACTAAATAATCCAAATTATAATGGTTTTATACATGCATGAATTTGGAAGACAATTGTATTTAGAGTAACTCCCAGTGCATTCAAGCTCATTTTGATTACACTTTTCATTTTATTTTAAATGTTAACTAATTGTTTTTTGAATCTACCGTCATGTTTTACCAGCAGTGCTACGAAGAAAAGACAAACCAGCCAGTTTCAATCAATTTTAGCTGATCAAATGACTTTGTCGACATTTAAAAACAGCTTAATAATTCAAAGGTTAAGAAAGCTTTTCTCACGGCGCTATGATCAATTTGGTCCGTTCTGGCAGTGAGGAACTTGATGCAAGCTCAACCCTCTTTAAACATTTGACATGCTTTCATTCTCTTTACTCTTCAGGTCCAGTACATCTGTTCTTCACCATCAACACCGCCTCGTGGTCCTCTGATTTGCTCTTTGACCTTTCACCTCTCACCCTGCCAACCGGCCCCCCGCTGTCCACAAGACACCACAAATTCACAACCTGTTGACATCCTGCAAATTCCAGATTTTTCTTCCTGGGAAAGGTCAGAGCAGCATCCTACTCTGCAACAATAAACATAGTATTTTCCTCATGTGCTTAAACTGGAATAATATATGAAACACATGCAGGGAAAAAACCCTCAAACTCCATTTCTCGAGGTGTGACTGTATCTGTTCTCCTGTGTTTTGATGGGAAGGCTATTGAAAAGCGTGCTGTGAGTGGAGGTTATTATCAAACGTCCTGTCAGGAGTGACGGATACGGACTGTCTCGCACTTCTCGTCCGCTCCACCAAGTCTCATTTGCGCCTCCGCTAGAACAGATAATTAGGCTCTCGACTAAACTGTGACAGGATCAAGTCTGTCCAATTCTCACACTATCATCCTTCTGTCTCCGGCCGCTTGGCGACATGGAATCGAGACCGCTGTGCTCTTCACTGAGTGCTCGGGGTCAGTCGGATGAGATGCGTCTGCGACGAGACAATGATGAACTGGCTCTCTGATAACAGACATATATACTCTATTTCCCAACCAGGGAGTTGCAAACCCCCAAGTGTTCATAAAGGTACTAGTATATTTGTTAAGGCCAAATGTAGTTTAATAAAAATTATAAATATTAAATAAAATTAAACTAAATTATCAAAAATCTCATCTAATTAAAAAAACAACAATTTTTTTTCATTTTCTTAAGAAGAAAAAAGATTGAATAAAAATGCATAATCCTGAAACATTACTTAAAATCACTTCAGTTCAAAAATAGGCATTTTTGTTGATGCAAAAGTTTTCATTGATGCCAAATGTAATTAAATGTAATTAAATAAAAATGCAAAGTACTAATTTTATTACATTAAAATTTAAAACAATTCTTAAAATCACAGAACGTGATTCATTTAAAAAAAATGCATTTTTGCTATTTTTATAAACTACTTTTTGCTCATGCAAAAGTTAACATGGATGCCAAATGTAATTTTATAATAATGAATAATTCTTACATTTAAATTAAAACATCAAAAAATATCATCTATTTCTATTAAATCTTATTGCCAAAATGATTAATTGAATGAATGATCATTTAAAATCACACAGACTGCTTCAATTTAGAAAATGCATTTTTGCAGTCATTGTTAATGCCAAATATATTTTAATAACAATGCTAGATGAGAGTCTTACAATTAAATTAAAACATCAACAAAAAAATATCTAATTTGCTTCCATTAATCTTATGGGCAAAATATAATTTAAAATCACACAGACTGCTTCAATTTAGAAAATGCATTTTTGCATATCCTTTTTGCAGTCATTGTTAATGCCAAATATATTTTAATAACAATGCTAGATGAGAGTCTTACAATTAAATTAAAACATCAACAAAAAAATATCTAATTTGCTTCCATTAATCTTATGGGCAAAATATTTATTACATTCAATGAAAATGTAAAACATTATTTAAAATAGGGCTGCGATTATATATATTGCATGCGATTATCGTGCAGTCCTAACTTAAAATCACAGTACTTCAGTCTGACAAAAAACTAGCAAAAGTTGTAATAATGATATTCGTGTGAATTGTTATGCCGTTGCAAAGCTATTTTAGATGGTTGATATGGTGTTGCTAGGTGGGTGCTTCCAGATTCACCTTGAAGTCTTGATGGCATTGTGGACTCTAGATATTCCTCAGGTCTTTCTTACAATTCTAATGGCAAAAAGCATTAGCACACCTGCCCTCAATAAGCACACAACTCATCTATATAGACAAAAGGTGTGGGACGAGTCACATTTTAAAGTTTAGTAGTGATGCTTACTTTAGCCAGCGCTGATAATTAGATCACAGGGGTTCGGCAGACACAAGTTAACTCTACGCAAGCTGTGCATTTGCCCTGCTCTCCTGTCACGTTCCCCTCCTTCCTTATTTTCTCACCCTTCCCATTTTCTACTCCAGTTAAATCCCAACACTCTTCCGTAGCCGCTCCTTTTCTTTCCTAATCACAATCGCCTTTCAAATTGTAATTCTGCAAGCTTTATTGTCATGACAATTTGGCATGCCCAGCCAAAAGCACAGGCCTCTCAGGGGCGCCCACGGCAGCACAAGCATCTGGGCAAATCTCATTGGCCAACTTTCCCTCCAAAACCTCTGGAGTCACATATAAACACAGGAATTTGGTGGGGGATTTGAGCAAATTGCTAACTTTAAAATATAGCACGTAACCTGCTCTGTGCCATCTGTGCTGCCTACAGGCATGAATTATGCATAAAATCATGCGGCTTCTTGAGGAGAGGTGTGCTAGTTAGTTTCAAAGTGATTTAAGTGAATAAAATGTGGGGTAAAATAATCACACTATCTTAAAAGTTACCTTTTATGACTTAAAACCACCTAGCAAGCACCCGAAATACTCAGGCAACCTCTTAATAATGTGCTAAAAGTTGAAGAATTCAAACAATTACCCATCAAAATTAGTGATCGACCGATATTGATATTTTATAACCGATACCGATACCAATTATTTGCATGTTTATGTGCCCGATAACCGATATGCAGAACCGATATTTATTTACTGTTATAAAGTAAATAAATGACTGAGTGAAGTAAGTCCATACTTCACTTTGGTTTTTCCTCCTTTCAGTCATCTTAAAAAGTGTTGAAAATTTGCAGTCTTTCATGTTCAATTTAATCTTCACATTACGACAATAAAAAAAAACATTTTATTTAAAGCATCAGCAGCAACACTAATATTAACAATAAGCAAAATAAATGTCGAAGGTCTAATGTTTTCAAATGGAGAAAATAAATAAAGGAAAGGACTCATATCAACTTCATTTTAAACTACAGTTTTAGTAGGTTTATAAGATGTTTAATAGGCTAAAGAGTGAAGAATAATTCACTGGATAATGTTAATTCACTGAATAATATTCTCTGGAATATTGAAATATAACAAACAAAACATCGTATTTTATTGCATTTCTCAACTGGAATGTTATATCAGAATTACTAATAATGGTTTTGTCGTTCTAGATTATGAAATGCCTGCAGACAGCGCAGTTTATCTATGCATTTACACAGAACTATATTCAAACTGCGATCGCTCGTGGAGATAATAAATAATACATTTCCATAGAGTTGTATCTATTTAGATGTTTATTAGCGAAATAATGGTTATATAGTAAATGTTAATACAATTTAGGGTGTTTTAAACAAGTGAATCTTGTTAAAAGTTACATGCTTTGGCCGTGCTGGAGCATTTCCTGAGCATCAACCCAGTGAGTGAACAGCAATATGAAAGCGGCTTCACGAGACTAATGATGAGTATAGACAACAGACAGAGAATTAAATTTAGCGTTTTTATTTCCAACATGCGCTCATTCATGGCTGTATTATTTAATTAATGCAAAGTTACGTCTTTATTGGGAGAGGACTTGACGGATTATCTTAGCCTACGTGACTCCGCCTTCATGAGACGATGAGCATATAGACAACAGAGCGAATTAAATTCAGCACTTTTATTTCCAACATGCACCCATTCATGGCTGCATATTATTTAATTCACGCAAAGTTACGTCTTTATTGGGACAGGACTTGATGGATTATTTTACGTGACTCAGTGAGTTTGTCTCTATTTCTTCGAGCCAAGCTGCATAAACTGCATATCAGGCATTTATGTAATAAAAATCTAATTTGTGCATTAATAGCTGTTATGTTAAATAAAGTTTACTCACTACAGTAAATCAAGTTCTCAAAACACCCACAAGATGGCGCCGTTTATCGGTGAATCCGATATTACAAAACCGATATCCGATTACTATAAAATGCTTAAATATCGGGAAAATATTGGTAAATCCATTTGCGTTTCCTAATATACAGCATATACAGCACACATGTATAAACAAAAAACACTGCAAAGGTTGACAACAGCCAATTGCAACAAAAACATTTTCTGGAGAAAAAAAAAAGTAGTTTGTTTAGTGGGAGAGTGAGGCTTTATTCACCCGAGAAAACACAATAAACAAAGGGTGTGAGCTGACACTTTTATTACAGGGACTTACTATCATGATTTAGGACGTTTGGTATAAACAGAGAATGATTCGCCCAGGAAACCCCCTACTGCATGCAGGTGGTCACTTTAAGGCACGCTTATCGAGAGGCTGAGCATCTCTCACAGTTCTGCTGTTTCTGCTTTGGGTATTGTCACTGTCGTGAACAGGAACGTCTGGGTTGTGAGAAGAAAACCCTCTGGCTAAAAAGGCAGATAGCAAAGAATTGGGGATGATTCCGATTCTGGAAAAAAAGAGTGACGACAGGAAAGACAGCGAGAGATTCGCTTGGATCTCCAGCCAATGTTTTAAACATCATCAAAGCTCTCTTTAACTGTGTCTAATTCTGTCCAAACTAACAAGGCACACACACACACTAAAACACCAGCAGAACCACTCCAATGACAATAAATAAATCACACAATTCAAATGCGATTCCACATTTTCCACCACTGGGTCAGTCTGGCCATACCTCTGGTTTCAACCACAAACCTTATGGGGCGGCAGGGAACGAGAGAATAAAGGGCGAAGATCTTCAACTCTATTGTGCTCTAAGCCCTGTCAGATTACATTTGATCCAAGTTTGCTTTCCCACACTTTCACAATGTGTTGTTTTCCAACCTCTGAGAAGATTTCGACCACTCTCCCAGCCTTTATCACGTCTACAGAGAAGCCTGTTCCAAATAAAACTCATTTAAGTTAGCAATCTATATTTCTATCATATATACAGTAACTCTCACAGAAAAACCAGCTCACGTCAAACTCTGTAGCAATTCTAAACTGATATGCTATCTTAAAACAATTACCCCTTCCAGAAACACAACCGAGCCCTTGGTGGGCTTTGCATGCATCAGGTGGGGGCTGTTGTAGTTTCCCTCCAGGGGTGGGAGTTTTTTGTTGAAATGATACATATAGTGTTCATTGGTACAAAAGCTAAACATGTTTAGCTCAACCATTCAACTACGTGAGTTGCGTCTGTACCACAAGAAACTGGTGTGGTTAGTGCTCTCCAAACCTCCCAGCCTATCTGCATCACATGACACCACTTAAGCCACTTAATCCTCCGTCACATGACCTCTCGTAATCTTCCATCATATGATAGGAGAGAAAAGTGCAAATCGTCTTACAAAGTTCCACAACATACACCACTTAGCATTAGAAGACGAAAAATTAAGCATCTGACTCTGGACAAACGTTAACTAGTAGAGCAATGCAACGCGATATTGCGCAATAGAACGTCTTTTGTATTTGAGACTTAAGTGAGGCTTTACTCTTAAAGAAACAGTTCATCCAGAAAAGCAGAATCTTTCATTTACTCACCCTTGTGTCATTCTAAGCAAGTGTAAGTTTCTTTATTTTGTGGAAAGCACGATATTTTAAAACATTTCCGAGCTGCTCTTTCCCATACAAAGGAAGAAAAAAAGAAGTTTCAAGGATAAAAAGCAACATGAAAGTAGTCCATAAAAGTCGACTCCAATTTTCAGTGAATAACAACTTAAATTTCATTTCTAACAAATCTTTATCAAAAGACTTCAAAATACGGTGAACTTTTTAATCCTTTTTTGTTTTGTTTTTTTGGTTGAAAAGCCGTTTGCAAAGAGCAGAAATTCTTCAAAACATCTTGCTTTGAATAAGTAAAAAGGAAAGCCAAGCAGGTTTTGAACAACGTGAGGTTGAGTAATGTCAGAATTTTATTTTAGGGTGAACTTTCCCTTTAACCCTACTATGCACCTCCTTTAACCCTGAGGTCAAAGGGCATCTGGAAAGTGTTGGTTGGGGGTGGGGTGGCCGCTTCCAGTGATTGTGTTTGACAACCCTTTAATTAACATAGTGATTAAAGCCAGAGGAACAAAAGCAGACTTATCCAACGCAACAGTTCTCATTACCCTGCTGCCCCAAACAAAATGGAAAAATCACATCAATAATCGCAACTACTAATGGTAGAATGTGTCAAAACTGGGCCAGGACACGCCACTGGGAATTCATAAAGTGCCAAAGAAGCAAATAAAATGAGTGTTTTTACTTAGAGTTAGGAATGAAGACGATGACAAACCACATCCCGTTAAAAGGAAGTCAGGAAACCTCCAAAAAGAGCGGAGAATATCTTGTTTCATTTTAGTTCAAATCTGAAAGCATATAAGGTTTATTTTCTTCCCAAACAAACTAATACGGGTTGGTTTGCATCTGCAAGCCAAACTAGCAGGTATGTGTGTGGTCCTCAACTCTGAACAACATTAAACTCAGACAGATGGAGAGAGAGAGAAAATATGGGGGGAGAAAGGAAAAGAGACGTTACGAGTGGAACCACAAAAATCCTAAAAGCGACTCTTTTGAAACGAGCCGCTGTCAGTATATAGCATACGGACAATAATTCCATATATTATAAAACCAGTTCAAAGACTCCAGATATACGCTTAAACCGATTTCTCCACATAATTATCGGAGTTTCAAAGACGTGCTCCATGCAAAAGAAGTACTTCCTAGGGTTTGCATACAGCAACTCATAAAACCTCCAAACCACACATCATTGCAAACCAGCACCTCCTCAGAACTTTCCTGGCTGTCTTGAAGGGCTGAACACAACCGTTTATGAAAAGTTAAATCCCATAAATCTGCACTAACTAATGATGTATGAAGCCATGAGGAATCCTACCTATACCACGAGAAATTCCTTAAAATCCAAATTCCTTATTTTCCCCAAGACTTCCCCCAATAAAAAACAAATATTTTCACACATAGGTGCAGCTGCGTAGGAGAAGAAGGTTGTTTTTATAGCGATTAAGCAGTAAAGAAGCATCTGTTTCCTTGTCGCCACTGAAGTATCGATAATTCCTAACAAGATCCTGCTGCAAAAACTAGGAATGTTCCTTGAACGATATTCCATCACTCTTATTCCTTACCTTCACGTTCACTCGCAGTCTCCACCTTCTCAGCAATCTTTGACGACGGCCTTGCCACGGACGCCGTTGCCAGGGTCAAAAGCAGGAGCGCACCCAGAAGCCACCCTCGGGCGGACATCCCGTCAGCAGTGGGCGTGTCTCCCCATCCCCCCCTCCTCGGCCTCCCCCTGGACATGGATCCCATCTGAGGGGCTCCACCCAACCATGAACTGCAGGCTGTACAGTCGGACACTCACTGGAATTCCCACCGATCACCTGGGCTGAAGAGGGCAGCAGAGAGGACAGTGATGTGGCAGGGGATCCCCAAAATAAAAACAAGAGGAGAAACAATTAGAAAAAAAAGTATTTTTGCCATGCACAATCCATAAAACACTCTGGTTAACACTCCATAGAGTGCACCCTACATATCTAGTGTGAATATTTCAAATCAGTTGACTCTGAAGCACAACTATCTTGCAGAGAGTGCGTGGGCCTAGTTATGAAAGAGACAGATATAAACTAAAGGCCCACGTGTCAAAATGCTGTTAAACGAGCCTTGCCACAGACATACCAAAGCTCTGATTCTTTAGACCTAGCTACTATCTGACACCTACACACTAACCCGACAAAGCACCAAGAGCGACCTACAACTTTGGCTAACTTCCTACAGAACTGACAGGCTACTAATGTAGAAGACAATTTTCCAACATCACTATTAAACAGTGATTTATTTTATCAGGGCGGTAATTCATCTAGCAAGCAAACCATGCATTCGTTTAAATACATTTAGTAGACACTTTTATCCCAAGCATTAAGATATACATATCTTTCTAACGATCTGTCTATTACATCACATCTATTACATGACTTGCATTCCATTCTAAAAGAATCAACTTGATTGGCAGTTTAGAACTCAAAAATGCGATTTCAAACATTCAAAACATGACCACTGAAAATGAACTGAAAACGCGGGAGTCAGTCAGTCACTCTCTGGAGATCTGGCGCGTAAATGCAGTATTGATCTGTTCTGTGATCGTGCGCTTGCATGCCATTCATAGCAGGCATTAATGCTTGTGAGATGATTGACAGCTGGTGGGGTTGCTCTGCAGATTTTTTATTTTTATTTGTTTTTTATCGTGAGAGGTGAGCAATGCAGGATTTTGATGCACAAGCAATCTGAAGGCGTTAATCAGCGTCCTATTCATATTCAAATCAGAACACACAGAAAGGATTTAATGCCAATGCAAAGAAAAACACTGATGTTCTCCTGGAATCAGCTGTACTGTGTATTTGGTTACATTTGAACTGTTAGGCTACTTGAACCTAATGGTCGTTCTTTATCAAGGCCCATTATAAAAAACAACCCTAATGAGTTTATCATTTTATAACTGAAGACTACACTCTAAAAATGTTGGGTCAAATACAACCCAGTGCTGGGTAAAATAGGGACAAACCCAGCAATTGGGTTGTTTTGACCCAGCGGTTGGGTTACTACCCAGAAGGTTGGGTTAAACATTTAACCCAACCGCTGGGTCAAAACAGCCCAATTGCTGGGTTTGTCCCTATTTTACCCAGCACTGGGTTGTATTTAACCCAGCATTTTTTAGAGTGTAACTAGATCGCTTTGTGAATGGACAGATTTTATCATTAGGTCAACTCTAATTAGCATCTAAATTATGATTAGAGTTAATTATTGGTTGATTTTTGCAAATAATATTCTAGTTTATTCTTTGCTCTGTGAGTTTATCACTAACAGGCTATTGACTAAGGAAATCCAAAAGCCAATTATTAATAATGGCAAAGTAAACTTTCTAAAGCAAACTCATGTCAGTCCGTTTCATTTTTATAAGATGATCTAATTGTGTCCACAGATTTCAGGGCAGGAAGCCTGAGGATACTTTAATTGCTACAATGATTAAACGACACTTTAAAAAAAAAAAGAGAAGAAAATAAAGAAAAGGAAACAACAGGTAGGCCAGACTGTTCCAGAAAAACACAAATAATGGTTGCTTTTTGAATCTGAATCCAAATTTGAATTTGAATAGATTGGAGTGTTCTAAAAAATGTGCACGTTCTAAATGATTGCCCTATTTAAAAAAAAAAAAATGAAATCATGACGCTTGAGGAGGAACTACAAATATAAGTGGTGATTTAACCATTTTGACTTATTTTTGACTTTATGCAATACTTCGCAACAACAAAAAACATTCATAGAACAGGTTTTTACGGACGTTCACATTTATGATTTTTTTAATATAGCGTTGGCTTGCAGCTTTCATTTAAGACGACAGTTTTAAATGACATTTTTCTCATACAGTGATAGTATCTGATGTTTCATAACAAGCATACATTTATAATTTTACACTTTGCAAGCTTTAAAAAATAAAAAAGCAAGTGTGCATACATTTAGATAAACTAACTTCAACTATTTTGCTAAATAACCTAGACAAAAGAGTCTGACAAGGCCATCGCTGATCATAAAAAATAGAACTTATGACATTTTCAGTGAACTCCACGTAACTTTAGATATAGCCTAGAATATCCAACTTTGTGCGCATTTAATGTAATATATAACCATGTTTAGTCATTAAGATACATTTGCGTATTATTCAAGTTAAAGGTAATGAATCATGCGTAAAGCCGCAACAATTGACAAACAGTTGCATTTCCATGAAAGACAAGCAAACCTCCGCTTAAAATCTAAACAGAAACACATGTAACTTACAGAGAAGGAGCTGATAGTGAAGTTCAGGATCCGCATATAAACAGGGAGCTCATATGGGCCGAATCCAGTCAGGAATGCGACCAAAACTATTCCCTATTCCCAAATCCAACGGGGCACCGACGACAGGATCGCATGCCAATAGCGACCCACCGATAGTATCCGTGCGTGTTTGTGTAAATCCTTCCAGAAGAGGAAGAAAAAAAATTCGCGTCCCAGAAACTTTTTTTCGTCCGTAAACCAAGTAGCTGTTGCTTCACCAGACGGCTCGTGCAAACGCGCATCAGGATCGCTTTGTGAATGGATAGATTTTATCATTAGGTCAACTCTAATTAGCATCTAAATTATGATTAGAGTTAATTATTGGTTGATTTTTGCAAATAATATTCTAGTTTATTCTTTGCTCTGTGAGTTTATCACTAACAGGCTATTGACTAAGGAAATCCAAAAGCCAATTATTAATAATGGCAAAGTAAACTTTCTAAAGCAAACTCATGTCAGTCCGTTTCATTTTTATAAGATGATCTAATTGTGTCCACAGATTTCAGGGCAGGAAGCCTGAGGATACTTTAATTGCTACAATGATTAAACGACACTTAAAAAAAAAAAAAGAAGAAAATAAAGAAAAGGAAACAACAGGTAGGCCAGACTGTTCCAGAAAAAAAAATAATGGTTGCTTTTTGAATCTGAATCCAAATTTGAATTTGAATAGATTGGAGTGTTCTAAAAAATGTGCACGTTCTAAATGATTGCCCTATTTAAAAAAAAAAAAATGAAATCATGACGCTTGAGGAGGAACTACAAATATAAGTGGTGATTTAACCATTTTGACTTATTTTTGACTTTATGCAATACTTCGCAACAACAAAAAACATTCATAGAACAGGTTTTTACGGACGTTCACATTTATGATTTTTTTAATATAGCGTTGGCTTGCAGCTTTCATTTAAGACGACAGTTTTAAATGACATTTTTCTCATACAGTGATAGTATCTGATGTTTCATAACAAGCATACATTTATAATTTTACACTTTGCAAGCGGTCTTTAGCTTTAAAAAATAAAAAAGCAAGTGTGCATACATTTAGATAAACTAACTTCAACTATTTTGCTAAATAACCTAGACAAAAGAGTCTGACAAGGCCATCGCTGATCATAAAAAATAGAACTTATGACATTTTCAGTGAACTCCACGTAACTTTAGATATAGCCTAGAATATCCAACTTTGTGCGCATTTAATGTAATATATAACCATGTTTAGTCATTAAGATACATTTGCGTATTATTCAAGTTAAAGGTAATGAATCATGCGTAAAGCCGCAACAATTGACAAACAGTTGCATTTCCATGAAAGACAAGCAAACCTCCGCTTAAAATCTAAACAGAAACACATGTAACTTACAGAGAAGGAGCTGATAGTGAAGTTCAGGATCCGCATATAAACAGGGAGCTCATATGGGCCGAATCCAGACAGGAATGCGACCAAAACTATTCCCTATTCCCAAATCCAACGGGGCACCGACGACAGGATCGCATGCCAATAGCGACCCACCGATAGTATCCGTGCGTGTTTGTGTAAATCCTTCCAGAAGAGGAAGAAAAAAAATTCGCGTCCCAGAAACTTTTTTTCGTCCGTAAACCAAGTAGCTGTTGCTTCACCAGACGGCTCGTGCAAACGCGCATCAGCCTTCAGCTACAAGAGATGCGACAGTGCAACAAACCCCGAAGAAAACATCCATCCCAAAATACACATCCAGTGACATGAGCGCAGTCTCTGAGGATACTGGCTGTTCTCAGATGCTTTGTCAGGTTTACACAGATTTTTTTTCTCTCTCCTTCCAACCCCCTGAAGAAATGTCACTCCCCCCTGAAACCCGAGACGTTTCCTGGCTGATAGTTTTGGACTCGGTCTTTCTCCTCCAATCACAGACCTCGGAGCTGGAGCTCCCTCAAAGCTCCGACTCGAGCAGTTCTGCGCAATCCTGTAAAGTTTGTCCGGAGCTGGGGGTCTCCCTCCTCCCCTGCAAGAGCTCCAGTGCTGCAGAATGCCATTCATTCACTGCAACAGCACTACCTAGTGGCAGATCTGTCTGATTATTAACCCTTTGGGGGCCCCAGAGACCCCGGGGCCTTTTAAATTGCATAGGGGTCATGACACTTTCCATTCCATGCATTTGACATTTTAAAACATTCTGTCAGACAAAGAATGTCTGTAAAGGTTAAGAAATTGCATTGTGACATCTTAAAGATTCATTCGGTATATGTTGAGATTTTTTTAAATGCAATAACAGGTTGAGAATTTAACGTTGATATTTTCACAAACATACAGTTTTTAATAACCAGTTTTTACTGAACAAAATCAGCGTAATCTGACCATTTAAGATCATCCACTGCTGACAAATCTAACAAAACAAGAGATTTAAAATGTAGTCAAAACGGTCAAAGGTTTGAAATCATTCAGATTTAAAATAAATAAATAATTTTTAATGAATTTTTACCAAGACTGCATTTATTTGATCACAAACGCAGTAAAACATTTTGAAATATTATTTGAAATATAATCAGCATATTAGAATGATTTCTGAAGGATCACGTGACACGGAAGACTGGAGTAACGATGCTGAAAATTCAGCTTTGTATCACAGGAATAAATTACTTTTGAAAAAATATTAAAATATAAAACAGTTATTTTAAACTGTAATAATATTTCACAATATTGTTATTTTTTAACAAATAAATGCAGCCTTGGTGAGCATAAGAGACTTCATTCAAAAACATTTGTAAAAATCTTAATTATTCCAAACTTTTGAACAGTAGTGTATACTTTTTCTGAAAGTCTAAACCAGGTTTTTTTAAAAATTGTCTAAATCTAAAACACTTAAAATAAATTAATAAAAATAAGTAACTAAGTGGTTATTTTTTAACTGGAATATACCATATTGTTAAAAACTGCCATGATCAGATCATAATTTTGTCTTGTTTAAAGCAATGGGTTTAAGCTATAACGTTTTTGTTTATTATTTTTTTCATGAATTTATGGAAAATCACAGATTTCCGAGCGTCAAAAGAACAGAAAACTGTCAATCTTTCTAACATAAAACTATCAATCAATATTTTATAGCTATTTTGGGGATCTTAAAAGAAATGGGCACTATAAACTGTCTTTCATATGCAAAAGAGCTGTGTAAAAAGGTTTGGAAAGACATGAGGGTGAGTAAATAATGACGGATTTGTAATTTCCTTTAATCTCTGTGTAAACTGCACTACATATCATCCATACTGTTTCATACGGAGCCTGTCATTTTCCCAGCATTACTAGCTGTGCCTGATAGACTCCCTCACGCAGCTCCCCCGTGGAGCCCTCTCTGTCCCAGCGCTCACACAGGGAGGCTCCCTAATCAATGACCCCTAAATGTCAGAGACTGAGGGGCCCCCCTGCCGCGCTCCACACTCCCCTTCCAAACTGTCTTCTCCATTGGACAGGCCCTTTCACCGATCCGAAGAAGAAAGCTAAAGAGTCGCGGAGCAGAGCGGGATTAGGAGAGGAGGAGGGAACTGTGGCGAATATGCCTTTCCCTCTTGTTTTTCCTCTCTCCTCTCCACCAGGCGGCCCGAGCCTCCTGCTTCCCCCCCCCCCTTCCTCATAAAAGAAACGTTCCCATTCACTCCGAACGAGCCAGCTAATAAGGCTGTTAAAGAAAGCAGTGAATGGGGCCTTCGATCACGGCTTTTCTTTCTTTAGCCCAGATTCTCTCGCTCACTCATACACAGTGAAGCCATCACACACTCCCATAAAAGGTGACAGTTTGGATCGCAATGAGAGGGAAGCGGGAAAAGGAGGGGACAGGCCACAGGTTTAGGGGTGTGAAATAAAAGATGGACTATCCGGTCTTTCACGCTCTTCCCCATTGCCTGTCCCGGCCAGATTTACATTGTTTTTATGGCCTGCCACATTTAGCAAACACAATAGAACAGCTAGTGGGAGTCAGAGAGAAAAAGACAGAATTGAAAGAGGTGTTCTTCACTTTTCCTCCTTGTCCAGCTGGATCTAACCAACGGTATAAATCACAAACAATAACCGATGAATTCAAATCTTAAAAATTGTACTAACTCATCTGCAAAAAGAGAAAGTAAGAACATGGCTGCATTCCAGAATTGAATACTAGTTTACTGCACATTAATGCAACATGCTGTCACAAATCACCACATCATGTTGCATGCTAATGGAATAATGTTATAAAAATCTAGCGTAGCGTCAGTTCTGGCAGGTCACGTTAGTCAAGCTCGCATCAACCTATGGGTTCAGAGAGAAAAAGACAGAATTGAAAGAGGTGTTCTTCACTTTTCCTCCTTGTCCAGCTGGATCTAAGATTGTCAACGGTATAAATCACAAACAATAACCGATGAATTCAAATCTTAAAAATTGTACTAACTCATCTGCAAAAAGAGAAAGTAAGAACATGGCTGCATTCCAGAATTGAATACTAGTTTACTGCACATTAATGCAACATGCTGTCACAAATCACCACATCATGTTGCATGCTAATGGAATCATGTTATAAAAATCTAGCGTAGCGTCAGTTCTGGCAGGTCACGTTAGTCAAGCTCGCATCAACCTATGGGAATACGACACCTATCTAAGTATTCATATATAAGGTCCCGCAGTAGTATCAGCAGTTTTCGCATTGCTCAATAGCTAATTACCCTCCTCCATCCCCAACTCCTCCTCTGTCAGTTAGGATTCAGCCTTCTGATTCTCCTTGAATCAGACTAATTCTAAAATGTGTACATAACATTATTGAACTTTAACGATATCTGCAATACATTTATGTTGGTTCTGTTCTGTTCTGCTTTTTCTGCTAGTTGCCAAAGAAATATTTCAAATTTTCATTTAACTTGATGTACTAAAATTAAAGTCAACTAAAACTGAAATAAAATTGTAAAAAATATATAAAATCATACAGACATAAAAAGCTAGTAAAAAACAAACAAACAAAAAAAAACAAAATTACTAAAAATGGAAAATACAAAAATTTAAAACGAATTCAAATTTTGTAAATGTTTGAAACCTGTTCACAAACTGACATCTATTTCAGCAAATAAAGGGATAGTTCGCCCAAAAATGAAAATTCTGTCATTAATTACTCACCCTCAAGTATTTGCATACTATGTACTGCTAATCTGAACATAGCCAGTGTGTCTCAAATCGAACAACATTTTAAATAGTATGGTATAGATGCAACCACACATGCTTTTTCAGCTAATAGGCTATTGGCCACAA